CTCCTTCCAATACTTTAACTAAAACCAATGTTCATATTCTATTCAGAGCGCGACTTCTGCTTTACCCCCTTTGAAAATTTTGAAAATATGTTTAGCATAACTTTATATTTACTCTTTATATGAATATTATAGTAAATGAATGTAAAGGTAAAAATACAAAAATGTTTATGTTTACTAACAAACAAATGAAAACACGTATAAAACAGAGAACGTAAACATTTTAAGCCTCATAGTAGCTTCATCTGGTCTGTTCCTGTTTGGCTGTGACTCCATCCTGGAGAGAAATATCAGCTGTGCTGCTGCCATCAACACCTTTGTTTCTAGATGTTGGAGCTTGGCCTGTTTTCCAGTGTAGTCCTGTTTCTCTGACTGTGACTAACTGGATGTGCTCTCTTCATCCTCTGACATGGGAGCTGTCAGCTGTTTTCTGACAGAAAAATCAGATATTATCCATCAAAGGAACGAACAGATGCAGGCACGCAGATCGACCCAGAGGTAACATAAAAACAATGGAGACTAAACAGCAAGAGGAAATTTACCGCATAAAACCAAATACTGCATGTTTTTAAGTGGGAATGTAGGTCCTTTAAACTCACATTTCTTTCAGAAAAAGCTCGTTTGTTTTCCCTTGAACAAAGACCTGAAGACTTTTCTTTGCTTGAGACCTTTAGCTCTATAAATTAGTTAAAATATATCTTTACTGACATACTTATCCTGCCGTAAAACATTTCAATGATAATGTTTTATGATCCTGTGAAATTCCAAACCGGTCATTTTAAAAGGTTTATCATTTCTTTTTAATATTTTAAATGCAAAGACTATAAAAGCGAAGTTGCACATTGGAAATCCTCCCAGTGAAGGAGAGTCAGTTAATGAGTTTTAGGGCAGCCGCCTTGTTGGTGTGATTTCATCCCCGCCCTCTGAGCTCAGAGCAGAAAACCAGTTTGAACAGATCTCCTTAGCAGCCAAGCAATAATGGCATTTCTGGAGAAAGCCACTTCCTCCCACTCATCGGCGCTGTTGGGGCATGTCAGAGGAATGCTCTACTTTGTTTCCTACTGACTGACTGACATCAGGTTCAGAAGGCTCCGCCCACTCTGCAGATACAAAGTCCCGCCCCACAAATGGAGACTTCCTCTGACACTATCTGGACCTCATCTCTACCCAAACACTGCAAAAAATACAAGATCTTCATAAGTCATTTTTCTTGTCTTGAATTGTGGAGGTTAGTGAGACATTTTGCCAATAAAACAAAACAATTTACATTTAAAATAAGAACAAACAACTGCAGTCTCTTATTTCAAGTGCATATTTACTAATGATCTTAATCTAAGAGTAAAAATACTCATTTAATTGGCAGATCATGTTATTTATCCACTGAAATTAAGGGTAAATAAACTTATTTCTAGATCGTTTTTGCAGTGTAGATGTATATCTCAGCGAATAACTTAATTGGGAAAAAAGGGAACTTACAAACTAAAATAAATAAATAAAACCGACTTTGTAAGTGTATACATATTCCAACAAATGCTCCATTTCCTTTGTTCCAGTTCAGCATTTAGCATTTTTTATTTTCTAAGCTACAGAGGTTTCATTAATGTTCATGTGTACAACAACAATAAACACTAGAAAAATGATTTGGAAATAAGTACAAATTTCTCTTAACTGAAATACCGCAATGCCAGTAATAAAGCATGGTGTTGGCAGCATCATTCTGTGGAGCTGCAGGGAGGATAACATTACATACATATATATGGATTAATGATTAAGATTTAGACTGATAAAAAAGTTCATACCTTTGAGCTTTTTCAGTTCAGTTTAATGGTCGAACAAAATGTTCTGCAGATGAGATCTGAACAGTTTATAGATGAATTTAACTCTATAGAAACGGACTTTGATCAGATCCAGCGGAGCTCTCTGCCTTCAGAAGAAATGTCATTTGTGGTGTAATTCCAGCTTTAACCTAGCTGGACTGTGAATGCATCGGCATAATCCTAACCTGGATTATAAAGATAGGGTACATCGCAAGCTTTGACATTTCCAAAGAGGTTGCACAAATGGAAATGCATGAAAACATGAGTGACCAGAGAAGCAGGAAGATGCAGGTTAACGATAGACGTTCTGTCTTTGGGATTTTTAGATCTCTAAAGCAAACGTTTGGGAAGGAAGTCCCCTGATCACATAGAGGTTTAATCCTGCGTGAGAAAAAACTGAGAGGCAAACTTCACTATAATATGGGGTTGGTGGAATCATGCTTTCCGAATAATTTCCTTATCAGGGATTTGGTCGGAATTGATTCAATAATATAATTAAATATAGATAAATGTAGACTGGACTATAGACTAGTACTGGTTGACCTTAGTGACCTCTGGACCTTTTTTTAATCATCTTTGAAACGATAGCAGCATAAAACTGGTGAAGATTCTCAGTCATCCAGGTCATGGACACTCAAAGTTAAAAAATAATCCACTGGACTTTGTTTCCAAGTTTAAAGACGTTTCTCTTCCATCCAGGAAGCTTTTTTTATTCAAAATGTAAGAAATAGCGTTTAGTTCCAGGTTTTATTTATATAAACAAAGCCTGGTTTTAGTTTAGAAAACATGCAAATAGAAACAGACGAACGGGTCCCCCCCTCTGGAATGGGGGTCGATTGGGTTCTTTGTTAGCCTGCAATGCCCCATACCTGTCTATGTCTCTGAAAGGGGGGTCCCAACACAGAAGAGCGCCCTCCTCTGGACAAGACTCTGTGCTACATCTACACCTGATGGACAAAGGACATTCTTTGGAGGACCAGAATGTTCACATTTTGGACAAAGAAGACAGGTGGTTAGAGAGGGGCGTGAAGGAAGCCATCTATGTTAAGAAAGAAAAACCAACCTTAATCGGGGGGGGGGGGACTCAGATTTCAGTTTTCAAAATCCTACAATGCAGCAATAGAGTTGATTCCTTCCTGCTATCATCGTAGCCCCACCCCCATGCAGGGGAACAGAAGACCTCACCTATTCAGCCACGCCAACTTTTCCCTCTAACGACCCCCCTTCAGAGACATAGACAGGTATGGGGCATTGCAGGCTAACAAAGAAGCCAAACGACCCCCATTCCAAAGGTTTTGTTGGACTACTCTATAAAACCTGGAACTAAACGCTATTTCTGACATTTTGAATTAAAAAGTTTCCTGGATGGAAGAGAAACGTCTCCAAACTTGGAAACAAAGTCCAGTGGATTGATTTTAACTTTTTTTGGAAGGATAGCAGCATAAACTCATATTTTTGCTGCACAAACGTTGTGATTCTCACTAATAAAGTGAAGACAAAAACAAACCAAAAACCCCTTAAGATTCAGTCAGATTCAGTTTTATTTGTTATATCTTCAGTGGAATAACATGAAGTCTACATGATGACAATAAATAGGAGAGACATGCTGGCTGTTACCTTGCAACAGATTCATACACATACAGCCTGGAGATTACCTCTATAATCCCGTTCTTCAGAGGCATTACACACACAGAGGGAGAATAAGCTTTCCAGTCTTCTAATATATATATATATATATCCTTATATGTCACGTACCAAAACCAATCAGCTGTTCAGTCGTACCTCCTTCAACATCTGTTCATCTCTAACATCCTGACAGGAAGAGCTCATATCATTCTGCTGTTGAGATGAGGACGATAACGCATCGTAATCGAGCGTGAAAAGCCGAACATTTACCTTCTAAATGACCGGGTCGTTCTCTGGGCTGACAGAACTCATCTCTCTAACACTTTCTGATCATTCCACCATTTTTCAGCTGCAGTCAGAAAAGCAGCATGAAGGAGAAAACTCCCAACCTTCCCGTCCCACTTGGATCAACGTGTCTCTGACTTTCTGCTCACCTTCAAACCTCCATCCTCGCCCTGCAGCGCCACATGGATCTGTCAGACCAGCTTACCCGTTTATTCCTTTAGATTTATACGAAAATAAACTTTAAACTAACTTGACGGGCGTGTTTCCCTTTACACTGCAAAAAATCTAAATCTAGATAAGTAATTTTTTCTTAAAATAAGTGCATTTGTTCTTTAATTGAGGAACATTGAATTCTGCCAATGGAAGAAGACAATTTACACTTAAAATAAGAAAACACAATTGCATTGTCTTATTTCAAGTGCATATTATCTAATTATCTTATTTTAAGAGTAAAATGACTCATTCGATTGGCAAACTATCTCATTTACCTACTCAAATTAAGGGTGAATACACTTAATTTTTTACTTATTTCTAAATCGTTTTTGCAGTGTAGTCATGTACAACAAAACAACTGAAGGTCAGACGGCCATACACTTCAAAAAACACCAAAAACTAAGTAATTAAATCGGTTTTTTATACATTACTAAAATGATACACGCCGGTTTAGGTAGTTTAAAGTTTATTAAAACTAAAGGGATAAACGGGTATTGACTATGCACTGGAAAAACAATAGAAATCAGTAAAAAATTTATTAAATTAAGTGTATTTACCCTTAATTTGAGCAGGTATATAAGATCGTTTGCCAATGAAGTGAGTAGTTTTACTATTAAAATAAGAAAGTTGGATAAAATGCATTTAAAATAAGACAAAGCAATTGTTTTCTTATTTTAAATGTAAATTGTCTCGTTCCATTAGCAAAATATCTCCTTTACCTCCTCATTCCAAGAACAAATTAGCTTATTTTAAGAAAAATGACTCTAGATTTCGATTTGTTCCAGTGTGGGTATGCTGGTCTGACAGAACACGGGCTCTACCCTTATGTCCCACGCATCAGTCATGCTGTGGGCTGTCTTTTAAAAAGCTGAAATGTTAAGCCCTCTAAAATGTGGCTGGTCCCTTAAAACTGGATTCATCTTCAGTCTCTTTGAAACAATCTGAGAACTACACATGCAAAAAAAAATAAAAATAAAGAATGAGACTGTAATGTACACATCTCCCTTTCATTATATCCCTTATACTGAGATGTACGGTATTATATATCTAATAGGAAATAATGCACACATGTTAGAAAGAAGATGAAAATAACACTTAATCTGGCAGTACCATTCAGTCTCCACTTGTTAATCTTCAGAACTGAACTTAAAAATAACAAAGTGATTTCCCAGAGGCCCAGCCTCTGCTTCCATAATGCTTCATTTACTTTCCATTCATCTCCACAGGAGCAGCCTTGGGTATGAGCAGGCTCATCCGGCCCGCGGCGCTCGCTGCACTCTTCATCACCTCCATCCATCTGGAAAAGAAAAGCAACACAGACACTGTTTAGCTCAAGTCTGTCCTGTTGGAAATACAGCGCTTCACGGAAGCTTCCATTATCCTTATTTCATATTTATTTGGATGTTAGCAATCGGCCAACTAACTAAATGAGGTTTTAAAAATATTTATAAATATTAATGAGGAACAGGCAATCATTGGAATTCAGAGAAGCAACATCTGCTGCAGGAACAGTTGCAGGTTGGTCTCTAACAGTTTAACTAAAACTCTGCTAAGACTTTAGATGTACTTTGACTAGGCCGTACGGCGTCACATTTATTTCAAAACACCTGCGAGTAAAATAAACATACTGGCATGTAAGTTAAACTATTTCTGCACATGGTTTATGTCCCGCCGCACCACATAATCTCACATGCATGAGAAACTGCTGCTTAAAGAGAAGAAAATCGCTCGCCGTGCGCTCCAGCTCCTCTCACGCACGCTTGGAATCGTGCTGATGGATGATTTTCCATCCACGCTCGAGGACGACTGCGCTCCAAAGCGTCTCTGCCCTCTGACTGATATCATCCCCGTGCGAAGGAAGACGTGTTCTTGGTTTTTTTTTTTTTTTTTGAGTTTTTACGGCACTAGTGGCTCAATTTTTCGACAGTAGGCTGAAAGGAAAGTTGGTGTGAGAGAGACATGCGGGAAAGGACCACAGGTCGGATTCAAACCCGGGTCGGCCGTGTGAAGCACTAAAGGCAAATTTATTCTTCAGACGCATAGCCTCTGCAACCGTCAAATCTGTCTCTGTGCGCGACCACGCCCCCCCGCGCAGAGGTTCTGCAACCGTCGTTACGCACTTTAAAAAAATCCTGACTACGCGTCTGACGGTCACAAAACCCGCGCAGACCTCAAGCGGAAGTGCGCAGACAAAAAGCAGCTGTGATTGGTCCTTGGTACGCCTTTCCGGCTGTCTGTGTGTTCGTCCTTCTCGATTCAGTGCCGGGGTGCGCCATTTTTAAAAACCAAAACTGTTCCTCTTAAATGTCTAGCAACTCTAGATCTATGTCTGTGCCGTGATATCTTGCAGACGCGCCATTTTTGTTTTGGAAAATAAACACTCCCGCCGGCGCCACCAAAGTTCTCGTGCCCATCCGCCGAAGTTCTCATGAGTTCTCCAATAGGCTCCCCCTAGTGCTTTGGCGGGAAACTGCTGTGCGTCCCTAGATGTTCCAGACTGACGGAGCAGAAGCAGAAGGTTGAACTGTAAAGTGCCTTGAGATGACTTGTGTTGTGAATTGGTGCTATATAAATAAACTGAATTGAATTAAATACCAGCAAAACTGGTTGGCCACCAGACCCAAGCGACTTTTGATGTGTGCGGTTGCAGAAGTCTAATCTGCCCTTTAGGCCTCCGTACCCGGCTTGTGCACGCTAACCACTGCACCACCTGCACACCCGCAAAATGTGTTTTGACATGTTGGGTGGAGACAAACAAGCCTTTGACTGACAGGTGATCATCCATAAGTGAAAACGAAGGCAGGAGGCGGGACGGTGGCGGCGTTTTCTCCAACATTTGCGGTACGTGGGGTTAGCGGTGTCAGTCAAAGGCTTCCTGCTATGGTATCATATGCTATGCTATGGTTTCTATGGTATGCTATGCTATGCTATGCTTTGTCATGCTATGGTAGTCTGTCTTCGTTTTCTGTGAACACTATGCATTTGCATGTAGGTTAGATATATTTTGGACTCATCAGATCAGAACAGTTGCATCTCCTGCTTGGCTTGTGTTAAACTGGACATGGCACTTCTTATTGGTTTATTTCTATGATCATTTCCTGTCTAAAGACTAGATGGATGAAGATCATGACTCCCACCATGACCCAAGTTTTCCCATTTTTTTTTGGGAAGATGGATTGAAGGGGATCCTGTAAAAATCCGAACCAAGCTTTAAATGTCTCCTTAGGTTTACTTCCGACTTTTCTGTTGGGTTGATTCATTGTCATAATGCTGTTTTTTACCTTTTTTTATCTTTTTAATTACTTTTTAACAACTTACACATAGATCAAATTACCCACTTAGGTCGATTTTTTTAAAGATCCTTCTGAATGAATTGAAATGGTCCAAAAAGACAAACCTCTCAAAGGTGTACTCGCTCTCCGCTCTGAAGAAGTAAACGTGCGACTTGAACTGCAGCTTGAAGACGTACTCCTTGTGAATGCTGTCCGACTCGTCGGGGGTGCTGACCGTGTAGCCGAGCAGCGGGAGGCTGGCCAGAGGGAAGTCGTCCTGCAAAACCAGACGAGGCGTGTTTATTCAAGACCGCCTGCATTCCCACCGGGCGGGGGGGGGCGTGAATGGACGCCTTGTGGACGGGGGAACAGCCCACCTGGTGAGTCTTGTAGAAGAACAAGCAGAAGTTGGTGAAGACGACCCAGAGTTTCTGCCAGCCGTTGCTGTTCTTAAACTTCCTCAGCAGGTAGCCTGACAGCTGGTTCTAACAAACACAGGGGAAGAGAAGCGCATTCAGAGGTCTGGATGCTGGGATGATAAATGAACAGATTTAAGTTACTCTGGAATGTGGAAAAGATTTGCTGCATGCTGGGATTTCAAAATAGAATCTATGAAGAGCTCCTTCAGGTGTTAGGGTCCTGTCACACCTCGCAGATTTCTCCAGCGTACGCCTGACTTCCCAGAATCTCCTGCAACGCTGGCATACGCTGAACTTTCTATTTATTTTTTCTATTTTGGGCTTATACATATAGTATTCATAACGAGTCCAGAACTAATCTCCAACGGCAGCCTAACTTATGCATAATGCACAGCAGCGTAATGCCCATGATGTCCTGAGGAGGGCAGTGATGCACCAGGAGGCGCCTGGTCTGCATAAAAACATGTCTTAGATCGCTGTATTGACCTAACTGCCGTTTACCACCCCCAAAAAAAATAAATAAATAGAAAGAAAAAGAAAGAAAGCATGTTTCTGGTGGCAGCAGATTGAGCGTCATGTCTGCTAGGAAGTGTGTTGGTGGTGGGCGTGAACGCAGGGAGGATCCATCACCTTCTGGCTCACCCTATGATGGGGATGAAGTCTGGAGGAGAACTGACGGTTTCCTCCTGTGAACCCCCTTTATACCAAAACGCTGCCAATACGCCATTATACAGTAGCTGGAAGTTAGAAACACGTTCAGCGCTCGTCTGGAACACGGCAGATACGCTGATATGTTGGAGAGAAGTTCTGGATAAGTTACGCAGAAGTTACTCAGGTTTAGGATCAGCTAGACGCCACGACTGATGAGCAACTGACACTGAACGGATGTCAATGATCAGTTAACTGACCTGGAACTGATGGCAGACGCGGTGGGACTCGACGTATGTCAGAGTGTTTCAGCGCACTTCATGCTCAGAACTTATCCAACGTATGCCAGCGCCATTTTTGGCAGATATTTCGTACTTCAGGCATCCGCTGGTCTCAATCGTTAAGGTGTGACAGCGGCTTAACGATGTGAAGGGAATGAAAGTTCATCCTGTACATCTAGAAACTTCAGCATCGCTCTCCAATGAGTTAGTCAGTTAAATGTTTTCCTTCCTATCAAATAAAAACAAACAATGTCTTTGATAATCTACCTTTACAATGAGTTATTTCTTCATTATTTGCTCTAATCTAATGTAATCTAATCTTATATAACAATTTCTGGATCCAATTCATTTCTCCGATGTGTTTTTGAACCAAGTCCTAAAATCTAAAATTCCTGGTTAAAGGTTTTAACTTTAAAGAAGCGTTACTGACGGGTAAACACCTGCCTTTGTTTTTTCCAGGAAACGTTAGCAGATTTTTAACCATCTGCAGGTTTTCCAAACGTTCTTCCTACAGCTGATTCCAACATAAACTGCTGTGAGTTCCAGTATTTCCATTTTTATTCACCTTTGGGGTTTTTCCCTTTTTTTAATTCCTCAGCATCTTCCTCAACATGTTTAACGGCACTATTTGTTTTAGATAAGCCTCATTTTTATGGTAAATGTTTAAAACAAACATTTTATAAAGTAACATTTTTCCTTAATTGAATAGTTGTAGTGAAAAAAACACAATTTTTATCTTTAAGGTCACGTTACTGCGATAAAAAGTAATGTTAAAAATTGTTTTAAGGCAAATCTTTTATCTTTTTTTTTAAACCGTTTTAGGAGCTGATGATTACGTATAAGACCAGGTTAGAGATTGTTTTTCCTTCTATTTCCAGAACAATGTCCTCCTTTAAATCAAGACTAAAAACACATTTGTTCAGGATTGCCTTCCACTGTTCTAGTTAGACATTTCAACTAAAACATCATTAGTTCAACTTTTTTATTTTCTTTTTTGTTTCTGCATTTTTTATTTTATTTTTTATTTTTTCCTACTTGCTTTGACTCTGTTTTATTTTCCTGTATTTTAATCATGTAAAGCACTTTGCATTGTCTTTGTACTGAATTGTGCTATACAAATAAATTTGCCTTGCCTTACAATTCAGAGAAACAAGTTGTATTTTATAACGACTCCTACAAGAAGCTCTTTCTTCCCTAAAGTGAGGAATGTGGAGCATCATGTGAAGTTATACTTTAGTAGCCTCGTGAGACCATCCTGATCTCGCGAGCTTTCAAGGTTTCACTCGCAGATCAGTCTGGAGACTCTCCGTTGAAGAAAATTTGGAGCCGTTCACCAAACGAACGTCCAATCAGCGTTGGCTTTGAGGCGGGTTGAGGTGTGACGCAACGAGAAGCGCCACAGTTCAGTCTAAAGAACATGGCGGCTTCAGCCGATGAAACTAGCGTTAGCGTGGCTATCCAGCTAGTTTTATCGGAATTACAGAGTATTTCTTCACTGAAAGAAGAGCAAAACACTGCTCTGGAGGCTTTTCTCAGAGGAAAAGATGTTTTTGCTCTTCTCCCGACTGGTTTCAGCAAGAGTTTGATCTTGTGGTTGTGTTTTCGTCGTCGCTCTGTTAGTACGTCATATGCTTCGTTGATCTGATTGGTTTATTTGGCCCGTCTATCACCAACATAGGCCAATCAGCTAACCAGTATTTTCGCCCCTTCCCAAAATTACTTCAACGGAAGGTTTCCAGATGGATATGCGGAGCAAGTCCATCTGGCGGAGTCAGGTTAATACTTTAGCATCGGTTTGACAAATCAGGAAATCTTTTAGCAGCAGCATCAAACTGGGCAGGATGTCAAAGTGGACTCTGGTTGCTGATTGGTGGAGCTGGTCGACCATCATCTGCTGGGCAGAGCTCCAAGCTTTATTTCTGAAACGGGTTGTTGAATGATGACTTCATTCTCGTAATATTACAACTTTATTCTTGAAATAGAAGAAAGAAAAAAACCCTCTTGCCAGGCCCTAATACTCCGTCATAGATGGATACTAACAGAAGATTTAGCATGTTTTGCAATATTTCTATGGTCATGCTTTACGTTTTACAGCTGATTTCTCTATTTACTGTCCGTTAAAAGCTCCTGTACCTGATTCATGCGTAGGTAATCATTGAGAGAGAGGTTCTGGTTTCTGTACCAGCAAACATGCGTGATGGTGTTTGGTCTTTGTCCCTGACCGAGAAGATAGCGAGGAGGAAGCTCTGGTGAGACGGCCGGAGAGCCGAAGACGACTGAGAGTGTGAGAGAAAACAAAAAACAAACAGAGAAGAAAAGGGTGCAGAGAAAAGGTTAGTATGTTAGCTTGGGTCAAAAAGAAGGAGAGAATGGGGGTTAGAGGAAATCCACATCTGTAAAGCAAAAACGGGAACGTTAGACAAAAGTCTTCTGCATCCAGAATGAAGAAGGGGAGAGAATTGGTTAGGATGAAGGAGACAGGAGGAAAAATGATGAAATGAAGAGAAAGAGTCAGATTGAAGGGACCCGGAAGGCGCAGCTCTTTCCATAGATGAAGGCAGGAAGTGTTTTGTGTTTCTGAGGGATCTATTTGTTCCAGAGGAGGGGTACCTCCACGGCCAGGCTGTGATCAGACATAGACACACTGGTGTTGCGGTGCCAGCACACATGCATGGTTGTGTTGGCACGATGGTGCGTCTGCTTGTCCAGGGAAGTGTGGGAAAGGTTCATGTCATCCTCTGACTCCTGCTCCAGAGAAACCTCATCGGATGATCCTGAGGGAAAAGGAGGAGGAGGAGGAGGAGGAGGAGGAGAGGGAGATGAAGGGTAACAGGAAGTTGTGTGGAAGAGAGGGATTAACTGAATGTTTTTACTTCCTCTGTTTTTTTTTGTTGGGAATTTCTCTGATTGAAAAACAAAAAATCACATCCAGAGAGAAAATCCAGATTATCTGAGGATCTGAAGTGGAGGAGGTCAGGAGACCCTTACGATTGGAGTGATCGCTGAGGCCGGTGTCGAGGAAGATGCCGGATTTCTCCTGAGACTTCTTAGCCAGGTCGATGGCGATGTTCAGATCCTCGATCCATTTCCCCATCTCCACCTTAGAGCTGAAACCACAAACAAAAACGACACGGAGCAGAAGCCCAGCAGCTGAATAACAGGCCGTCAGCTTTCTGCACTGATGCACACAATATCCAAACACCTAAAAACTAAAGAATCTACTGATTTCAGCCAATCTCATCCTTTCTAGTTGTTAAGTCACACCAACACTTTCCAGAAGCTTAAGTACTAAAATTATACCAGTAATTTAAGTGCTGTATTAATAGGATTACTTGGTGGTGGCAGCATCATGCTGTGGGGATCTTTTTATTGACACGAATCTTTCACCAAATTCAGACAAACAGAAGCTTACTTCAGTGATTATCTAGAAGTGGAACTCTTTCTAAGGCGTTTGATTTGAATAATGGGGGGGGGGTCTTCCTGGCTCACCTGGCAGCCACCACGATGGTCCTCTGAGCGGAGTAGATGGTGAAGCAGTGCGGGACTGACCACTCGTTTTCACTCTCCTCCACCTTTCAGGGAGGAATCACAATTAAAAGTTAGATCAAAGAACGACCAGCTTCTCTCATTTAGGGGGACTGAGTGTGAAGGGGGGGTGTTAGTAAGGAGGGGGCCCCTACAGCAGCATCCATCACCTGGAGGTATTAGGGTGTGGTTCTGATTTGTTTTCAGGAGTTTTTACCTCTTTCAAGTGTCGCTGAAGCAACACTAACTTTCAGCCACTAGGGGCACTGGACCTCTAACTTCCAGGTTTATTTTAAACCAAAATCAAACAGATAAAGACGTTATGGAGCCATTTTAAACTAAAGGTCCCTTTCACCCCGTAGATTAAATCCTACATCAGAGAATCAAACATGTGGAAGTATAACACAGAGTTACAGTAAGGTTCCTTTTTTCTACATCATTTTATTAGTTATCTAAATCTGTTTTTATATGTTTCTAAATTAGAACAGAGCATTAGGGCCATAAAAATTCATATTTCAGCTGAACCAAACTGCAGCCTCAGCCTGAGCTGAGTATTTTCACTCCTTTATGCTAGTTTTGCCTCTGTACTTTTAAGACGTTGCCCTTGTTACGTTACGACACAGTCCTTACCCTCGTTACTTTACAACTTTTCATCCTAGTTATTTTCCCGTTATGTTACAACACTTCCCTTGTAACAACTTTTTTATTCATTACGTTAAGACTTTATCCTCACAATGTTACAACTTATTACACCGACACGTCACGGTTATTTTCCCCTTACATTAAGACGTTGTCTTTATCCCCGTTACGTTACCACTTTATCCTCGTATTGTTATGACGTTATCCTCATTATGACTTTATCCCAGTGCTATTACGATTTCATCCTCGTACTGTTACGATTTCATCCTCGTACTGTTACGATTTCATCCTCGTACTGTTACGACTTTATCCTTGTACTGTTACGACTTTATCCCCGTTACGTTGCGACTTTATCCCAGTTACGTTGCGACTTTATCCCCATTACGTTGCGACTTTTTCCTCATACTGTTACGACTTTATCCCCGTTACGTTACGACTTTATCCCTGTTACAATACGACTTTATCCCTGTTACGTTACGACTTTATCCCCGTTACGACTTCATCCTTGTACTGTTACGACTTTTTCCTTGTACTGTTACGACTTTATCCCCGATACGTTACAACTTTATCACTTTATCCCTGTTACATTACGACTTTATCCCCGTTACGTTATGACTTTATCCCAGTGCTATTACGATTTCATCCTCATACTGTCATGAATTAATCCTTGTATTGTTACAACTTCATCATCGTACTGTTACGACTTTATCTCTGTTACATTATGACTTTATCCCCGTTACGTTACGACTTTATCCCCATTACGTTACGACCTTATCCCAGTGCTATTTCATCCTCATACTGTTATGACTTAATCCTTGTATTGTTACAACTTTATCCTCGTACTGTTATGACTTTGCCCTTATTACATTGAAACGTCAGTAACTTTTTGCCTTACATTATGATGTTGTCTTTATCCCCGTCACCTAACGACTTTATGCTCGTTTTACACAAACCCATTCCTCGTACTGTTACGATTTCATCCTCGTACTGTTACGACTTTATCCTTGTACTGTTACGACTTTATCCCCGTTACGTTGCGACTTTATCCCAGTTACGTTGCGACTTTATCCCCATTACGTTGCGACTTTTTCCTCATACTGTTACGACTTTATCCCCGTTACGTTACGACTTTATCCCTGTTACAATACGACTTTATCCCTGTTACGTTACGACTTTATCCCCGTTACGACTTCATCCTTGTACTGTTACGACTTTTTCCTTGTACTGTTACGACTTTATCCCCGATACGTTACAACTTTATCACTTTATCCCTGTTACATTACGACTTTATCCCCGTTACGTTATGACTTTATCCCAGTGCTATTACGATTTCATCCTCATACTGTCATGAATTAATCCTTGTGTTGTTACAACTTCATCATCGTACTGTTACGACTTTATCTCTGTTACATTATGACTTTATCCCCGTTACGTTACGACTTTATCCCCATTACGTTACGACCTTATCCCAGTGCTATTTCATCCTCATACTGTTATGACTTAATCCTTGTATTGTTACAACTTTATCCTCGTACTGTTATGACTTTGCCCTTATTACATTGAAACGTCAGTAACTTTTTGCCTTACATTATGATGTTGTCTTTATCCCCGTCACCTAACGACTTTATGCTCGTTTTACACAAACCCATTCCTCGTACTGTTACGATTTTATCTCTGTACTGTTAAAACTTTCCTCGTTATGACTTTATTCTCATAATACTATCACTCTTCTACTATTGACTTTTATCTCATAGGTCAAACATCCTTTTCCTTTAGTTGTTTAATATTATTACTTTCTAGTAAAAGTTATGAATCTCTAAATATGGTTCTAATACTCTGTTGTACTAAATAAACACTGTATACACACATATGTATGTATATATATATATATATATATATATATATATATATATATATATATATATATATATATATATATATATATATATATATACATATATATATACACACATTTATACATACATAAATACACAAACAAAATTGGTGAATAGTTTTTTAAACAGCTAATATAATCACTGAAGTGTATCAATGCTTTTCAAATGATTTGTAGGCGCCTGAATATTTAATGCTAGTCCTTTGTTTGGTACTGATAGCTCATAGGCTACGTTCACACTTCAGGCCTTGACGCTCAATTCCGATTTTTTTGCGAAATTCAATTTTTTTGCATTGCCGTTCATATTTCCAAATATATGCGACTTGTATGTGATCTCCTGTGTGAACTGCAGTCATACAACGCAAGTGGCCCGCAATCGCAGTAGAGGACGCAATGATGTCACAGGCCAACGTACTCTTTGTTTCCGAAAGTAAACATGGATGGTAGTACCGGCGCGCATCTAGCTGTCATTTCCAATCATAAAAACACAGTCTTTTCAAAATGGTTAAACATAAATGCTGCTCTCCGCATCATCGTCCGCCATGGTTGTTGTTTTTCCTGCCGCTTCTTCATAGCAAGAGGCAGAATAGTGACCTTTGTCGGGTATTAATGGCGTTCAGGTCGGATTAATGCGACCTGGCTGCTCAGACACAGGTCGCATTTAAAAAGATCAGATTCGTATCGGATTCAGGACCACAGAGCCAAGTGACCTGGGTTGCATTGGAAAAAATCGGATCTGTGTTGTGACTGCCATGAAAAGATCAGATCCAGGTCGCATATGGGCAAAAAATAATTGGATTCGGGTCACTTCAGGCTGCTGTATGAACGTAGCCATAAAGAGCTATATCTGATCTACTGCTGTCAGAGATAAGCTTCTCTCTCTGATGCATTTATACATAAAAATAAGAAGGGAAGGATCACTGCAAGATAGAAACGTGACATTTTTATGTTCCTCAAGCATTTTAAGCATTTTATTTCTTCTACACAGGCATGGGAGAAGAGGGCTGGTTTGGTCATTTTTGCTGGGGGGGGGGCTCACTTACCGGTGCATCCAGCACTATGAGCTGCAGCCGGGAGTGAAACAAAAACATGCAAAGTTAGGAGACCCAAACACGCTCCCATGTCAACACTTTGAGGCTCTGCTTTAATCACCAGCACCAACCGAGACAGACCGCACAGTCACTCTGGTGCCTGTACACGTCTGAGTTCATGCAAAGGCAGGGAAAAGTTTGCAGAATTGTGTTTCAGACTCACAATCATTCCATGAAGCGGCAGCTGGCCGTGCACTTTGAACTGATTGGTTGCTGTCACACCTTTGCTGGTGTAGAGGAGCATGTCTGAGAACTGGAAACGAAAAACAGAAACATCAACATCTAATCAGGGACGCTGTTCTTTATTGAGCCGAAGTGGTAGAAGCTTTGAACCAACCAGGAAGAACATTCTTTGCTGCAGCCCCTTCTTGGTCAGCTTGTACAGACAGCCCTCACGGATGAACTCCTGCAGATAGAGAGCAGCAGAATCAAATCATCTTCTCCCAGTACCTCTGCTCCCCCTACCTTTCGCTCTGAGCCAGTGCACCCACCCTGCCAGGTGCCGTCAGGTTGTCTATTCCAATCAGGTCTCTCTGCAGCTCCGTCAGCTTCTGGAAGTTCTCCAGTCGAATGAGACTGCTCTGCAGCTGGTTGGCTATCTCTGCCACTTCCTTCAGGGCTTCTGCAAAGGAAGACCGACATTATCAGACCGTCGCAACGACGATAAATAACTGTCACAGAGCCTCTGAACAGCATGCTCGTTAAAAGAACTTTGATAAGCGGCTTTTTTTTTTTAGACTAGTCAATAAATAAAGTTCAGTTCTAATTTAGTCAGAGATTCTGGAAAAGAAAGCTTTGGTTTTCCATCAACCCACCATCAGAAAAGCAGAACTGAACAATTTATGTGGGCAGAGGAGTTTATGGAGCTAAACTACGGCCATTAGGGATGCACAATATTGGGATTTTGGCCGATATCCGATATGCCGATATTTTAAAACTCATGTAGCCGATAACCGATATCGATACCGATGTTAAAGCTGGACAAAAATAAGTAGTCATTGAAAATAGCAGTTTTGTTATCCATTTCTGACACTTTGAAAAATAATATACTCAAATATATTTTCATATGCTGATATCAAATAGATTTTTAAAAACGCGGTATCGATCTATTTTACTTTCAAAATCTGGTGAAATTTCATCGTTCTGTTACAAACTCTCGTGATATTTTGCAAATTCTTGTGAGATTTTGTTAGTAAAATAGATCGATACCGCGTCAATATATCAACATATAAAAATATGGCAACATTTGGTGAATTTTCGGGGGATTTCGTAGCATAACGATGACATACAGGACTGTCTCAGAAAATTAGAATATTGTGATAAAGATCTTTATTTTCAGTAATGCAATTAAAAATAATGAAATGTCATACATTCTGGATTCATTACAAATCAACTGAAATATCGCAAGCCTTTTATTGTTTTAATATAGCTGATTATGGTGTACAGCTGAAGAAAACTGAAAAATCCTATCTCAAAATATTAGAATATCGTGAAAAAGTATACTAGTAGGCTATTCAACTAATCACTTGAATCGTCTAATTAACTCGAAACACCTGCAAGGCTTTCCTGAGCCTTGAAAAACACTCAGCTTGGTTCAGTAAACTAAATCACAAGTATGGGGAAGACTTCTGATCTGACTGCTGTACAGAAGACCATCATTGACACCCTCCATCAGGAGGGTAAGACACAAAAAGAAATTTCTCAAAGAGCAGGCTGTTCACAGAGTGCAGTTTCAAAGCACATTCACAAAAAGTGTGTTGGAAGGGGGAAATGTGGCAGGAAACGCTGCACAACCAAGAGAGGTGACCGCAGCGTTAACAGCATTGTGAAGAAGAGCCGCTTCCATAATTTGGGGGAGCTTCAAAGACAGTGGACTGAAGCTGGAGTCCAGGTATCAAAAGCCACTGTTCACAGACGTGTCCGGGAAATGGGCTACAATAGCCGTATTCCCATGGTCAAGCCACTTCTGAACTCAAGACAATGGAAGAAGCATCTGACTTGGGCTATGGAAAAGAAGCACTGGACAGTTGCAGTTTTGTATGTCATTTGGTAGTCAAGGCGCCAGAGTCTGGAGAAAGCCTGAGAGGCGCAAAATCCAAGTTGCTTGAAATCCAGTGTGAGGTTCCCACAGTCAGCGATGGTTTGGGGAGCCATGTCAGCTGCTGGTGTTGGTCCACTGTGTTTCATCAAGTCCAGAGTAAATGCAGCTGTGTACCAAGAGATTTTAGAGCACTACATGCTTCCATCTGCTGAAAAGCTCTATGGAGATGTTGATTTCATTTTCCAGCATGATCTGGCACCTGCCCACAGTGCCAAAACCACCAGTAACTGGTGTACTGACCATGGCATTACTTTCCTTGATTGGCCTGCCAATTCCCCTGACCTGAATCCCATAGAGAATTTGTGGGGTATTGTGAAGAAGAAGCTGAAAGACACCAGACCCAACAATGCAAATGAGCTAAAGGCCGCTATTGAAGCATCCTGGGCATCCATAACACCTCAGCAATGCCACAGGCTGATTGCCTCCATGCCACGCCGCATTGATGCAGTAATCTATGCAAAATGATTCCCAACCAAGTACTGAGTGCATTAATGGACATTATCAAATGTTCGATTTTGTTTTGCTGTTATAATTTTTTTTTTACTTGGTCTGAGGAAATGTTCTAATATTTTGAGATAGGATTTTTTAGTTTTCGTCAGCTGTACGCCATAATCAGCGATATTAAAACAATAAAAGGCTTGCAATATTTCAGTTGATTTATAATGAATCCAGAATGTATGACATTTCATGATTTTTAATTGCATTACAGAAAATAAAGAACTTTATCACAATATTCTAATTTTCTGAGACAGTCCTGTATAGCAATATTTCGTTAGTAAAAGAGATTGATATGGTGTTTTTAAATGGCAATATATCAGCATATGAAGATATTGGGATATTTTAATGGATCAATATTTTTTCCCTCGTCTTTAGAAGTTTTTAAGTCTGTAAAAAATAAGTTTTTGAGGAAGAAGAAGAAGTAGTTTTTTTTTTTTTTTAGACTTTAGAAACTCAGAAGCTGATCAAATATCGGTGGGGGGGCCGATGTCCGATATTCAGTTTTAAGGCCGATACCGATAGGGGGCCCATTATATCCTGCATCCCTAATATATATATATATATATATATATATATATATATATATATTAAGGCTGGGCAAGTTAACTCGTTATTATCACGTTAACTCATCAATCAATTAACGCAGACAATTATTTTATCTCGTATTAACGCAGTTTTTATTATTTCTTTTATTACTGTAAAAGTCTGTCGCTCCCAGGCTTTTATTTGGTAAAACTAAAAGTACCGGAACCGGAAAAGAAAAGAAATTGTCGTATAAACAAACCAACAAACATGGAGAAGGGTACGGCACTTTTACACGGCTATTTTCATTTTAAAGTTCTGTCAGACGGCGCAGTCGACAGAAGCAAAGTTATTTGTAATCACTGCAAAGTTGAATTGTCTTATTACCGGAGTACTTGGAGTCTAAAATATCACCTAAATGCAAAACACACAGTTGATCCCAGCAAATAATTTAACAAAACAGACAGTGGTGCGAGGCCTCAGCAGACTACGTTAGATGCAGCGTGTGGGAGAATTATAGATAAACAAAGAAAAGAGAAGCTAACAAATGCCATAGCGAAGTGGATCGCTGCAGACTGCAGGACGATTAGTATATTTAGACTATTTCCCTGCACAGTAAATCCCAGCAGTGAACATTTTTTTCGTGCTTCACCTCAATCTAACAGGGACATTTGGTACTAGACGGGTTATGCTGCTCCCTGATAAAAAAAAAAATATATATATATTTCTGCTGTTACCTGAGAAGTTGCCTGTTTTAATGTTATGATTGTGACTCAGGATTTTGTGGGAAGTTTTTATTTAACTGCTACTGTATAAACAAAATGCAGAACAAATGTTATGGCACTTCCTTTAATATGGCAGAACATTTAAAATAAAATTGTGCTATACACTACTTATGAATTCATTGTTTTTTTGCATATTAAAAATGGGATTAATCACAATTAATCAGGGAAATCATGAGATTAATCGCGACTAAAACTTTTAATCGTTGACCAGCCCTAATATATATATATATATATATATATATATATATATATATATATATATATATATATATATATATATATATATATATATATATATATATATATATATATATATATATATATATATATATATATATATATATATATATATATATGTATATGCAGTATTATTCCTACTGAGGCTGCATTTCCCCCGACAGCTCTACAGTTTATTTGAAACATCCTGTCACATGATGCTGATGAATGAGAAAAAACAGAGAAAAATCATCTTGGCCTTGATATTAACCTGAAGCAGAAATGAGTGATAACGGCTCTAAACAGCCCTTCACTGCACAAGGAAAAGGCTGAACTCTGCGAGCTTCAATCAACCCATCGATGGAGAGTCCAACGCCGCAGAAACAGCGGTGACACATTTTCAGAGAAGATGCTGAGATCAAAGCTGGAACATTTTCAGTTATTTCCTGACTAAAAATGTTAATCTTTCTCAGACATGCTGGTTTTTCCTTTTCAGTAAAGTTGCATAAACCATAATTCACACTACATTTCTCCACTAGGGAAACAAAACAAAATGAATATTTAAAAACAAATGAATACAGTATAATTGGCTGCATTAATTTAACGGGAATTGCTTTAATTTATCAGAAATCAACATTTTTACCTAAAGAAAAAATTTTGAATCCTGTTTTTCATTTATTCTAAATACTTTTCATCATTTTAAAGCTATGAACAGATTTCCATTTGGTTCTGTTAAATCCATTCATTTATTTGAAGCAATAAGCCCTCTGATTGGACAGACTTTTTACCAAACGACCAATGAGGGAGCTGGTTACACCTGATTGGTTAAACTTCTTCCCAGTGCTCTGGGATCAGGAGGGTAGCAATTAAGAGAGAAAAAACAAAATGCAATTTAATATAGGATTAGAAAATGCAAGTTGGAAAATAACCTTTTTAAATGTGTGAAAAGTATTTATTATAACATATATCTATTTTGGTTCTTAAATCTCCATTTAGAAATAGGATTTGAATCCTAGTAGTCAATCTAAAATGTGGCGTTAGAAAATGCTTTCCAAATAGCCTGATTTGTTAAAACGCTGCTTTTTTTTCAGTGACTCTCTGGCTCCTCCTCCTCAGCAGAGGGTGACCATGTGTTAGACGACTCACCTCTGCAGTCTTCGTAGTCGCGGTGAGCAGCGGAGTAATGCTTGCATAGCCTCTCCAGGATGAGTTTGTAGTGCATGAGGCGCTGGATGGGTTTGAGCAGGAAGGTGTTGAGGGGCAGGTAGCAAACCTTCTGCAGTTCAAACTCTTTATACACCGTCTCCAGCTTCTTCAGCCTCTTGGAGGCTTTCTCCAGCTCTGTGAGGACCTCGTCGTGTTTCTGCAGGTAGCTGGTGAACGCCTTGTGATCAAATCATCTTTATTGTTAAAGGATCACCTGAAGGACACCAGTCGGTATTTTTTCTTCAAAGCTAAAAACATCTGTACCTTCAGAGCGGACATGTTTTTCAGCATCACGTCACCGATCCTCTGGTAGTCACCTTTGACGTGAGCGTTCGACCGCCCCTCCCTGTTCAATCAGACACGTTTGGGGGTTAAATCGGTTTTTTGAAGCTAATAAAACAGCAGAAGCAAACCTGGGACCTACCAGAGAGCCAGCCTCTGGTCCAACTCCTTCAGGAATCCTCGGTGGAACTCGTAGATGGGGTCGATGTTGGAGAAGAGGAGCGTCATCAGGCCCTCAGGCATGGCGTTTTCTTTGATCACAGCGCTGCGGAACCACTGCAAGCAGCCAAACCACAAACACATGAAGACATGCAACATTTTCAAAGCAAAAACATCTCACAGCTGAAACTCATGGAAAATATCTAGAACCAGACTAATACCTGAAAGATTCTTCCCTTTTACCTTCTGCTGAGCTGCTCTGTGTTTTATACTCTGGATGTCAAAGAGGGTTCCTCTCTCTTTCAAAATTGATCTTTAATTACATGCTTTACTGATGAAAGGTTTAGAAAGTTTTGGTGTATTAATGAAGTTTGATAAGGATGCAACTCAATTGCCAAAGTAAAACAACAAAGTCTAAAAAACTTTGATTTGGCTCCAAATTATCTCCATAGTGATAAAACCTCAATATAAGAAAGAAAACTGAATCCAAGTAAATAAGAAAACACCTCAAACGGACTGAAAACGAATCTTCATCTTTCTCCAGATTAAATAATGGTGATTTTATTTATTATTCACATTTAGTTATTTAGATACAATAACTATTAAAGGAAGATATGTGAAGGTTCTCAGTCATCCAGGTCAAAGTCAAACCAAAAAAAAATAACAATCAATCCTCTGGACTTTGTTTCCAAGTTTGAAGACGTTTCTCTTCCATCCAGGAAGCTTTTTAATTCAAAATGTCAGAAATAGCGTTTAGTTCCAGGTTTTATAGAGTGGACCAACTAAAAAAGCTTTGGTTTAAAAAACATGTAAATAGAACCTGATGAACGGGTCCCCCCCTTTGGAATGGGGGTCGTTTTGGTTCTTCGTTAGCCTGCAATGCCCCATACCTGTCTAATGCTACGTTCACACTGCAGGCCTTGATGCTCAATTCCGATTTTTTTCGTGAAATCTGATTTTTTTTGCGTTGCCGTTCAAATTTCCGAATATATGCGACTTGTATGTGATCTCCTGTGTGAACAGCAGTCATACAACGTAAGTGTCCCGCATGCGCAGAAGAGGACGCAATGACATCACAGGCCAGCGTGCTCTGTGTTTACGGAAGTAAACATGGATGGCAGTGCCGGAGCACATCTAGCGATCTTTTCCAACCATAAAAACACAATTTTTTCAAGATGTTTAAACATAGATACTGCTCTCCTCATCATCATCTGCCAAGATTGTTTTTTTTCTTGCCGCTTCTGCGTAGCAAGACGCAGAATAGTGACCTTTGTCGGGTATTAATGGCGGCCAGGTCGGATGAATGCGACCTGGCTGCTCAGAAACAGGTTGCATTTGAAAAGATCAGATTCGTATCGGATTCAAGACCACAGAGCCAAGTGGGTCGATTTGGAAAAAATCGGATCTGAGTTGTTCAGACAGCCATAAAAATATTAGATCCAGGTTGCATATGGGCAAAGAAATCGGATTTAGGTCACTTCAGGCTGCAGAGTGAACGTAGCCAAAGGGGGGGTCGTTAGAGGGAATTGTTGGCCTGGCTGAACCGGCTAAGTCTTCTGTTCCCCTGCATGAGGCTGGGGCTGCGATGATAGCGGGAAGGAATCAACTCAATTGCTGCATTGAAGGTTTTCTAAATCTGCACTGGAAAATCGGTCTAGATACGTAAGATAAGTAAAAATGTCTTAAATTAAGTTTATTTACCCTTAATTTAAACAGGTTAATTAAATGGACTGAGTATGTTTAATCTTAAAATAAGATATTTAGATGGAATTCACTTGAAATAAGACAATGCAATTATGTTTTCTTAAGAAGAAGAAAACTGTACTACACTGCAAAAAAATGTAAATTACAATAAGCCATTTTTTTTAAAGTAAATTTAAGTACATTTTTTAATGAAATGAGGAGGTAAGAGAGACTCTTTACCAAAGTAAGAAGACAATTCACATTTAAAATAAGAAAAAAACTATTGCATTGTCTTATTTAAAGTAAATTTATCTAATTATTTTACTTTAAAGCTACAGTGTGTAATAATTACAGGGATATAAAGTCAGAAATTGAATATATTATACATAACTATGTTACTTATCATCACCTATGAGCTCAGCCTTTTAACCATAATATTTGCGTTACCTTAGAATTCGTTATTTATAATTACATAGGAGCGGGTCTCGCAGCCATGGAGGCAGACATCTTTGCGCTACGGCAGCGCAGAAGCAACAAACTAGCGATTGCGAGATCGCCCATTACGCTCGAAAGTAACTACGGCAAGTTGAGAGAGATGAACTGAGACGGTACTGAACAGTAGATGGCAGTATTATGCCAGTGAAGCATTTAGTCTGCCTGAAACCAAAGAAGAAGAAGAAGCAGGTATACTGCGCTTCAGTAACAAGAAAGGTGAACAAGGCGGCAGGCGTGAGTGACTTTGCAAACTGTTTGGCCAAACATCAGACGAATGGAGGATCATGCCGACTCTGTATCACATCGAAAAGCGGCGGACACCGAACCCCCGTCATCTAAGAAGCGGAAACACGACGAGAATAAACGCAAGCGTGACAAGAAACGACAAAAAACACGGATCAACATTGGCACGGCATTTACACGATGGAAGTCACTGATGGAGGAAAAAGGTTTTCAAAGTGACGCTCAAGTTGCCAGTTTTCTTTTGGACAGGTAAGGCCACAGCTTCATAAAATTACCACAGCTGATAGTGGCGTGTGTGAGTGTGAGAGAGACAGATATATGAAGCTGCATATTAGCGAGCTACGGATATATACCTCGGTTACTTCTCTCTGGCTCCTTTGGAGATCTTCAAGCCTTTCCTCCTCTGCTCTCACCCCGCTGGCACCTCTCTCTCGCCTGGCCCTGGCTGCACGCCCACCCCGGCCTCTCTGCCCTCTTCCTCTCCCTCTTCCTCGCCTTGTAACCCCCGTGCCACAAACAAGACTTGGACTCTGTAAACGGGGAATATATATTCTTCCAGCGAACACAATCTCGCTGTTAAACTAATGACTACAATTACTTCGTCTGTTTATATCACCATGCAAAGCAGCTCACCAAAACGTCACAACGACGTAGAAAAAAATAACGGGTATATTTATTATTATCAAATCTATACCCTACACAGACTAATGAAATACTATCTGTAAAATGATCTATTTAAACAAACCTCATTACTTGAGAAGGTAGGTGATGCGGACGTCGTGGAAGACATTTTGTCTTGTAACGCTCGCCGTATTGTTGGGGGGGAGAAGCGGTGGGGGGGAGATGTTCATGTTGCTGCGGTCTGCAGTCTGGACGTTAGATGTCGCTGAAAATTACACACTGTAGCTTTAAGAGTGAAAATACTCATTCCATTGGTAAATTATTTTACCAATTGTAAGATGGGGATAAAAAGCTAGAAGCACAGAAGGAGAATGAACTGAGGGTTGTGAAATACTGGGCTGTTAAATCTGAAAGCATAAAATGTTCAAAATAGTTGTGGGGTGATTTTAATTAATGCATTGTATATAAAATTGTTCCTAATAATAATAATTGAACTTTATTGATCTCACACTGGAGACATTTACATAAAAATGTCTTAAATTAACTATAGATAAATGAGAAAGTGAATGAGAAAGTTTGCCAATGGAATTAGGATTTTTACTCTTGAGATAATTAGATAAAATGCACTTGAAATAAGACAATGAAAATGTGTTTTCTTAATTTAAATGTGAATTGTCTTGTTCCATTGGCAAAATGTCTCTTCAACATCCTCAATCGAAGAACAAATGCACTTATTTGAAGAAAAAATGACTTTTTCTCCAGTGTATGGTCCTGTCGCACCTTGCTGATTTATCCAGCCTCTGCCTGACGACCCAGAATCTCCTAAAACGCTGCCAGACGCTGAACTTTCTAGGTATTTTTTTTATTTTGGCCATTTACATAGAGTATTTATAACGAGTCCAGATCTTCTGTCCAACGACAGCCTAACTTCTGCATAAAGCACAGCAGCATAACGCCCATGACATGATGCACAGTGTCCTGAGGGGGGCAGCGATGCAACCGAAGGCGCCCGGTCTGCAGAAAAAAAATTATTTGATCGCAGTATTACCGTATTTTCACGACCGTAAGGCGCACCGTACTAAAAGGCGCACTCTCAGTTATGTGTCCCATTTCTGTATTTAACACACACATAAGGCGCACCGGACTATAGGGCGCATTTTTTATATACAGGTACAAGTCCTCTACTACCTTTAAATACCTCTACTGCGTATTTTAAAAATACAGCGGGGGCAAAACTGAGTATGACTGTGCTTTATTCATGTATTTATTACAAAGTATTAATCAAACCTGGCAGCTGGCCGTGAGACAGACACATCGCAGATTACACAGCGCTGTGATCACTCCTAAATTAACTTAAAATCCTGAAACCTGCCGACGGAATATGTTCGCTTTTATTACCGGTATCCTGCTGCCTGCAGTTTAAATTATTTAGATGAAAAACACCTGCCAGCCGCCGCGGTGAACCTGGAGGCTGCCCAGCCTACAGGCTGCTGTTGAAGGGATTTCTGCTGTCAGCGCACCGCTGGTTTGTGGGGGTCTGAGCGCCTCCGACAGAAATAGATAATCTGGATGAACTGACTGAAATTATTACGTTTTCAGGTGGCCTTTCTCACTTAAAAACATATTAAAACTACTTTATTCCCACTGATCACAGCAAATATAGCTGCAAGATTTAGATTATTTAGATGAAAAAACACCTGCCAGCCACCGCGGTGAAGAGGAGGAGACCCGCCCAGAGGCTGCTGTTGAATTAAGCTTTCAGGTAGAAAAATAGAGCGGGGGCAAAACTGAGTATGATTGTGCTTTATTCAAGTATTTATTACAAAGTATTAATCAAACCCATCAAAGTCATCATCCTCTGTTTCTGAATTAAACAGCTGCGCTAAATCAGACATGCCAATTTCCCCTTCTCGCTGTCAGAGTCACTTTCCGTGCCGTGCGTCTCCTCGGAAATGATGCCGGCTTTTGCAAAAGCTTGAACAACAGAGCCAGCAGACACGTTAGTCCCAGCATCTACAATCCATCCGCTAACGGTGGCGTAACTTGCCCGGCGCTGCCTTCCACTTATCCTGAAACTGTGGTCTCCGTCTGTCATCCATCGCTCCCACGCCGCTCGCAGCCTTACTTTGAACGGCCGCTTCACACCGATGTCGAGCGGTGGAAGTTCCTTTGTCAGACCCCCGGGATAACGGCGAGCACAGCATCCATTTGATTCACCATGTTTTTCTCATCAGCTGTGAGACGGGCACGCATGAAGTCACAGATTAACTGCGATGGTGATGCGTGGAAAAAACACCTGGTCTCCTCACATACACCTCCCTCAGCCACGCTTTCATCATCTCCTCATCCATCCAGCCTTTTTCATTTGCGTTAATATCATATGTCATCAGAGCGCTGTGTCTGTCTCGCTGTCAGCTCCCAGATCAGCTTCTCTGATTGGTTGATGCGGCGGGTCCAGCAGTAAAACTTCAATACGCGTTGGCGGTGCGTCAGATGCTTAAACGCTCCCGACGTGCTGCGCCTGCAGCTCAAAACGCGCTGCGGGACCTTTTGCTGCGCCTATACGCGCGTCAACCATTGACTTTGCATGTAAACTCGCTGCTTCTGCTGCACCTGCTGGGTCCGGTTCACACCGATGTCGAGCGGTTGAACAGCGAGCACAGCGTTAATTTGTTTCCCCATGTTTTTCACATCAGCTGTGAGATGGGCACGCATGGAGTCACATATTAACAGCGATGGTGATGAGTGGAAAAAAAAACACCTGGTCTCCTTACATTCAGCCACTCTTTCATCATCTCCTCAATGAGGTGGTCTCAAAAGTCGCAGTTACAACACACATAGGGCGCACCGCACCAAAGGGCGCACCGCACATTTTGAGGGGAAAAAAACACGTTTATGTGCGCCTTATAGTCGTGAAAATACGGTAACTGAGCTGCTGTGTACCGCTCGCCCAAAAAAAAAGAATAAATAAAAAGAAAGAAGATTTTTTGGTGGCAGCAGATTGAGCGTCATGTCTGCTAGGAAGTGTGTTGGTGGTGGGCGTGAACGCAGGGAGGATCCATCACTCACCTTCTGGCTCACCCTATGATGGGGATGAAGTCTGGAGGAGAACTGACGGTTTCCTCCTGTGAACCCCCTTTATACCAAAACGCTGCCAATACGCCATTATACAGTAGCTGGAAGTTAGAAACACGTTCAGCGCTCGTCTGGAACACGGCAGATACGCTGATATGTTGGAGAGATGTTCTGGATAAGTTACGCAGAAGTTACTCAGAGGTTTAGGATCAGCTAGACGCCACGACTGATGAGGAACTGACACTGAACGGATGTCGACCATCAGATAACTGACCTGGAACTGATGGACCATTAATGAGCAAACGCTGGAAAACGTCAACAAATTTTGAGCACGCTTAAAATTCCTCCAGGTACTCACCGTATTTCTACGTGTGCCAGCACGTTTCACGGTGTTTCAGCGCGCTCATACCTTATACTAAACGTAACCATAACTTATCCAGCGTTTTCGCCTGATTTTTCCGTAGATCATCCGCTGGTGTAAATCGTCCAGGTGTGACAGCGGCTTTAAATGGGCCGATTTAAATTAAAACTCAGGTAACTCACCACAGTGATGACCTCCAGGTCCTTCAGGTACGTCCTCTCCGTGGTCAGAATCTCTTTGGCGATGAAGTAGGCCTTGTCGGTGGGGTATCGCTGGGGGAAGAAAGGGGGCTTAATTGTAAAAAGAAAAAGATAAACTGATGGCAAAAAAGGAAGTAGAAAGAATAACAATATTTCAGTAACAACAGCATGCCTTCCATTAACAACATGTCAGGATGCAGAGCCTTGGTGGAGTATTGAGTCTGAAATGGAGCCTTTTTGGATCCTTGTTGCTTTTTGAGCTGAAGGAGTTTATTATGAACACTGGAAAACATACTGCAAACATTTTCATAGAATTAAGCCCATTTTTTTTAATCAAATAAGTCCTTTTTCTAAAAGGAACTTTTACCAATGGAATAAGATGATCTACATAAATTAAGGAGCGCCTAAAATCATGAATAAAAAGCTGCTCAAACTGAGGAAATTATCTTTCTATGCAGCAAAATACTTTTACTTGATTTAAGGTTTTTAAATCTAGAAATAAGCAAAGGCTACACTTAGAATTAGAAATGATTTATTTAAAACAAGATAAATTATCTACAACATAGTAGTCATTTTTTTTTATCTTGGTACACTGAAAAAAATGGAAAGTCATTTTTTTTTCTTAAAACCAGTGAGTTTGTTCTTTAATTAAGGAGGTAAGTGAGACACTTTACCAGTGAAACAAGACAATTTAAATTAAAGATAAGAAAAAAGCAATTGCATTGTCTTACTTCATATGCATATTATCTAATTATCTTATTCTAAGAGTAAAAATCCTAATTCCGTTGGCAAATCATCTTATTTATAAGGGTAAATACACTTAATTTAAATTTTTTTTTTTACTTATTTCTAGATCGTTTTTGCAGTGTGAGAACCGAATAACTAACACTGCAAAAATAATCTAGAAATAAATCAAAATGACTTAAATTAAGTGTATTTACCCTTAATTTGAGCAGGTAAATACGTTGATTTGGAAATGGAATGAGGATTTTTTGCCTTAAAATAAGGTAATTAGATAATATACACTTAAAATAAGATAATGGAATAGATTTTTTTTCTTATTTTAAATTAAATTGTCTTGTTTCATTGGCAAAGTGTCTCACTTACCTCCTCAATTCCAGAAAAAATGCACTTAAGAAAAAAAGACTAATTTAGATTTTGATTTTTTCCAGTGTAAAGTTGCAAATGATCTTATTTATCTGCTCAGATTTTCAGCAAATCCTCTCATTTTAAGAAATATCTACTTATTTTAGCTGTTTTTTGCAGTAACATTCAGAGCAAAAGAAAACCAGTTAGAATTTGCAAAAGACGGAGGCAGACGTTAAAATCCCAGCAGGACAACAACCGTAAACATGGAGCCAGATTTAATTATATGGTGAAGATTGTCAGTCATCCAGGTCAGAGCCATTCCAAAAAGAGTTAAAAAATAATCCACTGGACTTTGAAGTCTGAAGACGTTTCGCTTCCCACCCAGGAAGCTTTTCAATTCAAACTGTCAGAAATAGATTGAATTTGAGGTTTTAAACAGCAGCTCATCAAAATCCTTGTTTCTGTTTTGAAAACATGCAAATTGAAACGAACGAACGGCTCCACCGTTCCAGGTTTTTCTAAGGGCTGCTGGATAAAACCTGGAACTAAACGCTATTTCTGCCATTTTGAATGGAAAAAGCTTCCTGGATGGAAGAGAAACGTCTTCAAACTCAGAGTCCAACTTTTTTGTAAAGATATAAATATAATTTAAATAACAATAGTAATCGCATATAATCCCCACTAGTTTCTCAACAGCTAACAGAGAGACATGATTTGAATGTTTTGCAGTTGCTTTAAATCAGAACTCTGCAGATTATTGAGGGATGATGAAATGAAGAACTATGAATCCAGATTTTCTGCTTTCTGGTTAATAATGAGGGTAAGAACTGGTGGTGATTGAATACTTTCCCAGGGCTCTGTCTGTGAACAGGTTTGAAATGTTGATGAATTATTGAGGGGGGGGGGGGATAAAGCAGTGTACCTTCCTCCTGCCCTCCTCCTCCTCCTCTAGCCTGGCAGCGCCGCCCACCTCGCTCAGGATGGGGCTCTGCAGCGGAGACGGGGCCTGGCTGGGCAGGCTGAGGTTTGACATCTGGAAGGAAGGCGACAGGCAGAGGGGACCCTTGGAGGTGAGGGGCGAGAGCTGAGGATTGTCCATTACTGAATCTATGGAAGAGGGAGAGGGGAAATTAACACCAGCAAATATGGGGAGGGTTGGATTATTATTTTTCATCTGAGAAAGTTTTAAGAAGGGGGAGGGGCTTAATCTGTACCTGCAGAGGACCTAATCCCTGCAGCCTTATTAGAACCACCATGATTTTAGCGGCACGCTGCCAAACATCAGCACTAACTTAACCCGTTTCTTTTCCCTTTCTGTTGTGAGAACAAACAGCAGGCCTAATCTGCACCACTCAGGCAGCAAATAAAGGAAGAGCAGCTCCAAGTATTGGTTCCCACACTTTGGAAATCCCAGGGATCATTTCCTAATCCCTGAAAAAAAAAAGGAGCTAAATGATTAACTGCATGAAACCATTTAAAGAACCGGCTCCTCTGCTTCTGTTCTAGCCGTTAGCTTCTCTATACAACAGAGAGAAAATCCATCCCAGTCCTTTAACCGAGTCACAGATCGGTTCTTAGAACAGCTGCTCTTCCACTTCTTAAGCAACGGGAGGGGGTGGGGGGAGAGCAACAAAAAAAAAAAAAAAACAGCACAAAAAAAAAAAGAAAACAAGAAGACACAGGACTCGCTATTTGACCCGGAAATAATTCCTGCGGAAAAAAAAGAAAAAAGTCATGAGGAATGCGGCTCCTCTGCAGGGCAAATGGGTTGTTTATGTTTGATGTGGAGCGGCCCTCAGGGGGCCGACACGAGGAGGGGCGGCTCAGAGGGGACGGGGGTTTGCTGTGGAATGACTTGGCACAGGGCCCGCCTAAACGAGGCGCACACGCAGCTGGAATCAGCCGTCTGATGTGCGACCCCGCCCCCGGCTGCATGTGGTCTGATAGAGGAAACAACAAGAAAACAGCGGAAACCAAAGCTTGTTTTCATCTGCTGATGGATCGGAAAGCCTGCCGTCTTCCAGTCACCGGGTTTGACGATCGACGGCTCATAAAACAATGATCTGCTCCTTATTATACGGCCTGATTCAGAAACCGTTAGCTCAGGGCTGATGAGGTCAAACTAGAAGCCTGGTCAATTAATTATTTCCTAGAAACAAAGACAAACGTAAAGAATAAATCCCTGCTGAGTCTGATTTGCAAAAATAAGTTTAAGTCTGACATTCATGGTACCCAAAAGTAAATCCTTTATTCTTGAGAATAAAAAAAAAATAAAACATACAAAACAATAAGTACAGATTTATGATGATGATTAGGATCAAATACAAACAGGATTAAGGTGATGATTACTTGGCGGCTAGAAGCAGTTAGCTTGTTATTGTCTTCCGGGCATTTAGCAAAAATACCGGTAGTCAAATAATAAAAAATAAGGTCAGACAACAAAGATGACAGAAGCTAAAGGAGTATCCAGATCTGTGCACATTTGCTGCAGAGGCTGACGGCTCGTTTTTAGCCGGCCAACAAAATGACAACGAGAACAAATGAGCGCTTTTAATCGGAGACGCCATCTTAACCGCAGCATCCCATTTAACGCCGGAGGATTTGATGGTTTATTCCACCATGAAGCATCAAACCCCTGAGATAAAGATGTGCTCTAGACAGGGTTGCCAACCGTCCCATGAAAAACGGAATCGTTTCGTATTTAGAAATAGAAGTACCTGTCCCGTGTTTAGTGGAAAAGGAACGAACTTTGTCCCGTTTTATTGTGAGAGTAAAAAAATAGTCAGTAAAAAACTAATGGAAAATGAAAAACAAGGGCACATTAGATACAAAACTTATGGTAAAATTGTTCCCGGGCCCGGTCCTGCACCGCGACCAATGAGATGACAACATAAACACTGGAAAAAACGATCTAGAAATCGAATTAAGTGCATTTACTTTTAATTTCAGTAGGCAAATGAGATGATCTCCCATTGGAATGAGTATTTCTACTAAAATAACATAATCAGATAATATGCATTTGTAATAAGACAATTCAATTGTTTCCTCTTATTTTAAATGTAAATTGTCTTGTTCCAGTGGCAAAATGTCTCTTTTAACTCCTCAATTCAAGAACAAATGCATTTTGTTTAAGAAAAAATTGCTTATTGAGATTTAAATTTTTTGCAGCGTTCCAGTGTATGTTACGATCCAGAATCCCCTCATCCCATTGGTCGAGCCAAGTGTCACTCAAGGAGAAGATAGCGGGAGACAACGGAGCAGCATGGAGGACCAACGGAGTCATTTAAATGCCGACGCTGGTTTTAGGGGCGGTGCACCATCGCAAAGCGATGCTCCTCCTCCTCCTCCGGAAGAAAAAAAATAATAAAAAAAAAGGATGCAGAAATATAGGGAGGAATGGAAAAAAACAAATACCTGGGTGGAAAAAGTCCACGATAATGAATATAAAGCATACTGAAAATATGCATCTGATTTAATGCAGTCAGGTCAGCTGGAACGCACAGAAGGTGTCCCTTTTTGTTTCTTTTCCAGGGAGTTGGCAACCCTAGCTCTAGGAAGCACAGGAGGCTCTGAAAACCCAAATAAACCTAAAAACCAAGGAGAAGGACTTCAGCTTTGCAGTTTATTCCTCCTGATTTAAACGGTAGATTCATACAGAATCGAGTCCAGAACACTAATGAGAGGAAAAAAATACACGTTCCTCTATAAATACTTCAGAAAAAACCCATCATACCAATCAATGCTTCAAACACTCAAAGAAAAAAGCAACATAAATGAAGCCAATGTGCAAACCGCTGCTTCCTTTCAACAACCTGAACGTTGCCAAAGCGCGCTTAAAGCTAGAGCCTCTAAAGGGAAAAAAAAAACAACTAGAAATAAGGGATTCATGTACAAAAAGTGGTTTCCTTTAACTTTCTACATCGTATAAACGCCTTAACACCGAACTACGTCCATCCTCATTCCAGCCTTTAATAATGATGCAGCTAGAGTGTTAAATATGCTTATAAAACGTAATACATTCATCTAATATAAAGTGGTATTAGCAGTTTATGGCTCAACAGCACAAGGTTTACGCTGCAAACACTGATCAAAAAAGGAGCAAAGCTCTCAAAATAAGCATATTTGTCCTTAATTTGAGCAGCTGAATAGATCAGCTGCAAATTTTATTAATATTTTTGCTCTTAAAATAAGATGATTTATATTATGCATTAGAAATAAGATGATGTTATCTTTTTCCTTTTTCCTGTCTCACTTTCCTGCTCAAATTAAGGAAAAATACAACGATTACAAGAAAAAATGTATTTTTTGCAGCGTTCATTATATTATCTATATGAATGTGAAGTATTATGCGTAATAATTAAAATGCTAAAAAATTCCACAGGCCCAGAAATAGCCTGTGTAATAACCATTTCAGCCAGCAGGTGTCAGTAAGGCACAGAGGTGAAATGTGTTTAAATTAGAGGAATGTGTTTAAAGGAATAGTACACCCAAAACATGATTAGCCTTCATTTTCTACTCACCCCCATGCTGAACAACACTCTGGAGTACTTTTTTGATATCTCAAATGCATCTGGAGATCTGGGAGGCTTCTTGCTGTCTGCTGACATTCAAATAATGGAGGTCTATGGCGCCCGAGGCAGAAAGGTCCATAAAAGTCCACAAAAAACGTGTCAATATTCCTCCATACTGCTCGTCCAATGTATTCCAAGTGTCCTGAGTGGGTAGCGTCCATAATTTACTCGAAACGAAGTCATTTAGAATGTTTTTAGAGCATAAACAGTAGTGTATAGGATTTCCTAAAAGCGCGTTCACGAGTCTACGGAAACCGCGGCAGACCAAACCAGATGAAAGTGCGCATTCAGCTCGGCAAAGAACTCATGCTCTTCCTCAACACTGAAGTCCTCAGACATTTTTCTTTCGTTTTTTCTGTCTTTGCACAGGTAAACAGCACATTTCTTCTTCTACGCTTGCATTATCGGCAGAGCAGACGCTGAATGCGCACTTTCATCTGGTTTGGTCTGCCGCGGTTTCCGTAGAGTCGTGAACGCGCTTTTAGGAAATCCTATACACTACTGTTTATGCTCTAAAAACATTCTAAATGACTTCGTTTCGAGTAAATTCTGGATGCTACCCACTCAGGACACTTGGAATACATTGGACGAGCAGTATGGAGGAATATTGACACGTTTTTTGTGGACTTTTATGGACCTTTCTGCCTCGGGCGCCATAGACCTCCATTATTTGAATGTCAGCAGACAGCAAGAAGCCTCCCAGATCTCCAGATGCATTTGAGATATCAAAAAAGTACTCCAGAGTGTTGTTCAGCATGGGGGTGAGTAGAAAATGAAGGCTAATCATGTTTTGGGTGTACTATTCCTTTAACTTCATTCCCCCCCCGGTCTAGATGATCGATTATAGAGGGATCAAAGATAAGGAAGGCCTCAGAAGATAAGGAAAATTAACTTTGTTTAGTGAAACTATTAATTTTACGCCTGTGTTCAGCGAAGGGAAATTTCCACATTTCCTCATTAAGAAATGTATTAAAAACATGCAAAAAGATGAAAGACGAGTCAAAATGGGAGGGATTGGATTGTTAGACTACATATTGTAGATCATTAAGCTTTATAAAATGTTATGAAAATTATTCGTTTGGCTTCCACTGGGAAAATATCCTCATTTTATCGAAATGATCGCTTCTAGACAGAGAGATAAGCTGCTTTTTATATTACACTGCAAAAACAATCTAGAAATAAGTAAAAAAAATTCTGAAATTAAGTGCATTTACTCTTAATTTAATCAGGTAAATAAGATGATTTGCCAAAGGAATTCGAATTTTACTCTTAAAATAAGATAATTAGATAAAATGCACTTGATATAACACAATGCAATTGTTTCTTCTTATTTTAAGTGTAAATTTTCTTCATCCATTGGCAAAGTGTCTCACTTTCCTCCTCAATTTATGAAAAAATTCACTTATTTTAAGAAAAATTTTACTTTACATTTTTTGCAGTGTACTCTCTTTAAACTGTTTTTTTCAGCAGCTGATGGGCCTAAGTGCTCTAAGGGTCTACATTTTAAGGTGTGGGGGTCCAGAGGGCTCTGCCAGGGCCAGGGCCTGCAGGTTGTGGCACTGAAGCAGGAAGCCCTCTATTCCTCCACTTCCTGTCAGAGGGTTACTGTAAAACAGGTCCTGCTCAGGAGGAAGGTTGCCGTCAGAGCCCCAGTCGGAGTCTGAGTCCGAGCTGCCGTTCCCGGAGCCCTCAGTGGCAGTGGGAGGGTAGCTGAGCTGCTCCAGCTGCTCCACCAGGTCACTGAACTGGACGGCGGAGCTGCTCTCCGAGCGCACAGAGCATGCTGGGAAGTTGACCATGGAACTGGCCTCCGACTGGATGTCGGAGCCAGGCAGGCGAAGGGAGGAGGACGAGCCGGGGACCCCGTAGCCCACCGACATGGACTCGGCCGCAGAGCTGAGCCCCAGGTTGTCTAAGGAGCTACACTCGGAGCGGTTATTGACCAACGAGCTGGTCTCAGAGTGCCCGACCAGGCTGATGTTCCCGTTCAGGTCCTCTATTCCAACGCTAAAGATCCTATTTTTGCTGCCGTCAGACGCCTCCCCGAAACCTAACGGCCCTCCTTTACTCTCATCAAGCCCAAAGGAGTAAGCCTCGGCCCCCCCGGCATAAAAGGAGATTTCGGTGGGATCGTCGTCTATGAACTCCTCCGACACCTGCAGAGGCGAGCCGGACATGGAGAACATGGCCTTCTGCTTCGTCCGCAATAGTTCGGCCTCAAAAGCCTCGGGTGTAAGCGCTCCCTTCAGTTTCCCTCGCCCCCCTTCCAGCGAGCACCCGGTCCCCCTCCTCCCGCCACGCTCGTTATTCTCATTGTCATTTTTGGAGGGCAGGGTTTGGGATGAGCCGCTGTCTAAACACACAAACACGGGGCTGCAGTGTCCTGCTGCCTGATTGCGAGGGGCACCTTGAAACGAGAAGTGAGACGGGGAAACGGCCTTGACTGGGTCTTCCTTCGGAGGGCTGGGGGGCCTAGCTGCTCCCAAGGGGGGCTGCTGCTGCTGGGGTGGTGCTGGAGACTGGCTGGGTGGGGAGAAATGTTGGAGCTGAGGTGGCAGCTCTGTTTGCTGGAAAATCCTGGTCATGTGTGCGGGGAGGAAGGAGTCTGTGGTGGAGGAGAGGCAGCCTGGGGACCTGAGGGTGTCATTGAATGACAAGATCTGAAAACAGACGGACAACAAAGGACCAGACCGGGGCAAGAACAAAAACATACCGATTAAAGGCCACAAATAAACACTTTGAGTAGTTTAACAATTCTGGTAGACATTATGTCTGTTTGCTTCACTCCTTAATGTTTTATTTACCTGTTTAGGCACATCTGATGTAAAGGAGCGGGCAGACATTCTTACTTTGCTGTTCCTCCTAAACAAAAACAGAGTAATCAGAATAATCCGATCCCACTGCAAAAGCTCAGCTAAAATAAGCAAGATTTCAAAGAAGTTGCTATATTTGCCCTAAAAATGAGCAGCTAAATAAGTTCACCTGAGAATGGAAACAATATTTTTGCCCTTAAAATAAAAATGGTAGAAAGTATCCACTTAAAATAAGACAATAGAGCCGTTTCTTCTCATTTTAAACCTAAATCATCTTATTCTACAGGCTAACGATCTTACCTGCAAAAATTAAAGGTCCCACACTGGAAAAAAATCGAAATCTAGATAAGTATTTTTTTTCTTAAAATAAGTGCATTTGTTCTTGGCTTGAGGAGGTAAAGGTGACATTTTGCCAATGGAACAATACAATTTACACTTAAAATAAGAAAACACTATTGCATTGTCTTATTTTAAGTGCATATTATCTAATTATCTTATTTTAAGAGTAAAAATACTCATTCCATTGGCAAAGTATCTCATTTACCTTCTTCAAATTAAGGGTAAATACACTTAATTTAAGACATTTTTACTCATTTGTAGACCGTTTTTCCAGTGCATATTGTTCTACATTTGAAAATATAAACATTGAGGCCCCCAGAGCAGGTTTTCTTTACCAAAAATCTCCTTAATTAGCTCTGGACGAGTTTTCCACGCCGGTCCTCCCGCAACCATGACAACCAGACGTCGCCACGCTATCGGCTAGAAGCCTGGAATAATAGCTAAGATGAAGTCCGTAGTTTGACTGATGGGCGTCTACAGACCGCTATGGGCAGCTCATTCCCCCTTATGACATCACAAAGGGCGTGCGTTTCAAACAGAACCTTTTAAACACGCTTTAGCTCAGAGGTTTAGTAAAGCAATGATAGAAATTAGCGTTGTTTTTTTTTCATTTGTGAATCTAAGGACACATGACTGTTACAAAAAGTTCATAATGTGAATTTTGCATAATATGGGACCTTTAGTGGAAATACAATTCAATTAAAAAGGAACTATTTGGTGTAAAAATAGCCCCTTCATACGTGCACATGTGCACATACAGTCATTGTGGGCATGAAAGTGTTAAAGGCATCCAACATTAGTTGTAATATTTGTTTTCGACGTAAATAAACAATAAAATTACTTCAAGCTGTGTATTTTTTTATAAATTCAAAATATTGTCAGATGGTCTTTGCCATGTTAATTTTACCTCGCAATACATTATATCTGCAAAAACGATCTAAAAATTAGTAAAAATGTCCTAAATTAAGTGTATTTACTCTTAATTTGAGCAGATAAATAAGACGATCTGTCAATGGAATGAGCATTTTTACTCTTAGACAAAGATAATTAGAAAATATGCTCTTGAAATAAGAGACTGCAGTTTTTTTCTTATTTTAAATATAAATTGCCTTATTTCATTGCAAAGTGTCTCACTCACCTGCTTAATTCAAGAAAAATGCACTTATTTTTTTATTAGTTTTTTGCAGTGATGATTAAATAATGCGCTGCAAAAAATTGAAATCTAAATAAGTAATTTTTTCTTAAAATAAGTGCATCTTTTCTTGAATTGAGGAGGCAAGTGAGACACTTTGCCGATGGAACAAGAAAATGTACATTTAAAACAAGAAAAAAACGATTAGATTGTCTTACTTTAACTTTACTTTTTTTACTCTTATTTTAAGACTAAAAAAACTGATTGCTTTGGCAGATCATCTTACTTACCTGTTAAACTTAAGGGTAAATACACTTAATTTAAGAAATGTTTATCTATTTAGAGATCGTTTTTGCAGTGTGAATTAGGGGTGTAAATAATAATCGTTTTGTATCGATGCATCGATCCAACAGCCGATGATCCGATGCATCGATACGTCCGCAACAGAATCGATTCATGTTTTTTTTTCCTCCGGTCTATTTTTATTCATTTGCTCCTGGGTGTAATTCTCCCTCCCGTGCTGCGGTGGCGCTAAACCTATTTTGCCCTCCTACCTCGCTTCCTGGTTATACTCTTACAGCAGTGTGTTGCATTAAGCTTGATGCAGACATTTTTAAATTATGCTCAATATTGAAGCGTGGTCTGTGCTACACGCTGTGGGTCTAGATACGGCCGAGGCGGCGAGGAAGTGGGGGCGAGTTTAGTCCGACGACGGAGGGACATGAGGGCCAAAAAGAGCGGAGATCCAGGTAGAAAAAGGGTCCCAGCGTTCTCGCGCACCTCGCTCTTCTAGCGGGTCAAACTTCACGAGTTGTTTTCCGCAATTTCGGTCATAAAAACAAAACAAGCCGGCCTCCTGTCTGCGGTCAGCTACGATTAGGGAGAGGAGCAGCGGAGCGTCTGGAGCCCAGGTATTGCATTGCACTCATTGCACTGATTTTCTGCAGTATTTTTTGATGCAACTTTTCTACTTCTTTTATTTGCTGTTGTTTCTAAAAAAATGCATAACGATATTACAGCTTTCATTGATTTATTTCAAACTTGAAACTTTGTTTAGCCTGTAAGGTGTAAAAAAAATCAATAAATAAAATAACCGATTAATCGAATCAAATCGTGGTGTATTCTTGAGTATCGATACTGAATCGAATCGCCATGATGGATGTGATTTACACCCCTAGTGTGAATACTAGGTCCTGCACTGGAAAAAAATCTAAATCTATATAAATCATTTTTTCTTTTACGTCCTTAATCCAAGAAAAAATGCATTTTGCCAATAGAACAAGACCATTTACAGTTAAAATAAGAATAAAACAATTGCATTGTTTTATTTTAAGTGCATATTATCTAATTATCTTATTTTAAGAGTAAATACTCATCCAATTGACAATCTCATTTACCTTCTCAAATTAAGGGTAAATAGTAACATTTTTACTTATTTGTAGATGGTTTTTACAGAGTGTAGATCTACATAAACAGCCGTACCTCTGATAAGGGGTTTTCTTTGCTCCATTCTCGCGGACATATTCCACAAGCTGTTTCTGGGTCCTTCCACTGCCAGACAGAGGTTCAGATTAAATCCTAATCCCAGGGACAGTTAAATTGCTAAACTGCAGAGAAAGGTCAGCCATCTTGATGAGCTGGTACCTATATCTGAAGGAGGAACCTCGTGTGAAGAGAATGGCTTTAGTTTTGGGCTCCGGCTGATCGAACAAACGGAAGAACGAATGATACTCCACACAGATCTTCCAAAAGTTTTTACACTGGTCCCGACTGGCCATCATAAACTCCAGAATATCTTGATGAGGCCCCTGAAGCAAAGAGTAAAAAAGAAAAGATGCTGCTTTAAAACACCCAGAGACTTGATCACATCTAGAATATGAAATCTGAGACTTCTGGGAAAACTCACATGGACTTCTGGGTGGAGTTTGATGAGGAACCGTTTTCTCTTAAAGCTCAGTTTCCGGATCTTGGACCAGTTGAAGGTGTTTATTTTTGTGTTGCCCTAGATCAGGAAATCACATCAAAGATATGACTAAAAAGACGACAGAGTCGCGCTCAGCGACGGCGGCTATCAGATCATTATTCACCTGAAAAACCTGAAGGCCCATATGAGCAACAGTCAGGTTGATCTTGGTTCCCTCTCGGTCAGCCGCTGGATGGAAGCGGACGCCGTACATTTCCAGTTTTCGGGCGATCTCAAGGATCTGGAAATCTGATTCGGCAGGAGTCTGACCACTGGCGTGAAAAAATAAAATAGATTTATAAGTCAAACATTTGATGGTACATTAACTGCATTTTAATTTAGCCTGTTTTTTATTTAGCCTCGTCCTGAGTAGGAAATCTCAATATAAACCAAAACTGAGACCCGATAATTAGCATTTTGATCTTTAAGATTTAAATCCCTCTAATCCATTAATAACTTGTCTAAAAAAACAAAAGACAAAAAAAACATTTTAATGGGACATTTAATCATCCAAGTGTGCAGTGAAAAATGTATTAGTACATACAATGTTTAAGCCATTTTAATGATTAAATAAATGTTAAATAAACTATGAGATGTACAGGTGCTGGTCATAAAATTAGAATATCATGAAAAAGTAGATTGATTTCAGTAATTCCATTTAAAAAGTGAAACTTGTATATTATATTCATACATTACATACAAACTCATATATTTCAGATGTTTATTTTGTTTAATTTTGATGATTACAAATGACAACAAATGAAAATCTCAAATTCATCATATCAGAAAATTAGAATATTGTGAAAAGGTTCAAAATTGATGGCCCCTGGTGCCACACTCTAATCAGCTAATTAACTCAAACCACCTGCAAAAGCCTTTAAATGGTCTTTCAGTCTAGTTCTATAGGCTACACAATCATGGGGAAGACTGCTGACTTGACAGTTGTCCAAAAGACGACCATCGACACCTTGCACAAGGAGGGCAAGACACAAAAGGTCATCGCTAAAGAGGCTGGCTGTTCACAGAGCTCAGTGTCCAAGCACATTAATAGAGAGGCGAAGGGAAGGAAAAGATGTGGTCGAAAAAAGTGTACAAGCAAGAGAGATAACCGCACCCTGGAGAGGATTGTGAAACAAAACCCATTCAAAAATGTGGGGGAGATTCACAAAGAGTGGACTGCAGCTGGAGTGAGTGCTTCAAGAACCACCACACACAGACGTATGAAAGACATGGGTTTCTGCTGTCGCATTCCTTGTGTCAAGCCACTCTTGAACCACAGACAGCGTCAGAAGCGTCTTGCCTGGGCTAAAGAGAAACAGGACTGGACTGCTGGTGAGTGGTCCAAAGTCATGTTCTCTGATGAAAGTAAATTTTGCATTTCCTTTGGAAATCAAGGTCCCAGAGTCTGGAGGAAAAGAAGAGAGGCACTTCATCCACGTTGCTTGAAGTCCAGTGTAAAGTTTCCACAGTCAGTGATGGTTTGGGGTGCCATGTCATCTGCTGGTGTTGGTCCATTGTGTTTTCTGAGGTCCAGGGTCAACGCAGCCACATACCAGGAAGTTTTAGAGCACTTCATGCTTCCTGCAGCTGACCAACTTTTTGGAGATGCAGATTTCATTTTCCAACAGGACTTGGCACCTGCACACAGTGCCAAAGCTACCAGTACCTGGTTGAAGGACCATGGTATCCCTGTTCTTAATTGGCCAGCAAACTCTCCTGACCTTAACCCCATAGAAAATCTATGGGGTATTGTGAAGAAGAAGATGCAATACACCAGACCCAACAATTCAGAAGAGCTAAAAGCCACTATTAGAGCAACCTGGGCTATCATAACACCTGAGCAGTGCCACAGACTGATCGACTCCATGCCACGCCGCATTGCTGCAGTAATACAGGCCAAAGGAGGCCCAACTAAATACTGAGTGCTGTACATGCTCATACTTTTCATGTTCATACTTTTCAGTTGGCCAACATTTCTATAAATCCTTTGTTTTTATTGGTCTTCAGTAATATTCTAATTTTCTGATATGATGAATTTGAGATTTTCATTTGTTGTCATTTGTAATCATCAAAATTAAACAAAATAAACATCTGAAATATATGAGTTTGTATGTAATGTATCAATATAATATACAAGTTTCACTTTTTAAATGGAATTACTGAAATCAATCTACTTTTTCATGATATTCTAATTTTATGACCAGCACCTGTATATGTATGTGACTCCATCCTGGAGAGAAATATCAGCTGTGCTGCTGCCATCAACACCTTTGTTTCTAGATGTTGGAGCTTGGCCTGTTTTCCAGTGTAGTCCTGTTTCTCTGACTGTGACTAACTGGATGTGCTCTCTTCATCCTCTGACATGGGAGCTGGCTCGGAGCTCGTCTGCCTGGCTGTGTGTTTCCTGGACGGGGCCGCCTGTGGAGCTGGTTGACAGTTGCCTTTTGTATCTATGCTTCTTTTTCTATGTCTGCTTCTGTCTCCTTGAACCCCAGTGGGCCTCAGCAGATGGCCGCTCACACTGAGCCTGGTTCTGCTGGAGGTTTCTTCCTGTTAAAAGGGAGTTTTTCCTCTCCACTGTCGCTACAAGCATGCTTAGTGTGAGGGATTGCTGAAGAGTCAATGAGTCGATGCAATCAGCTGGTTTTCCTTAGATAGAAAACTTTGAATCAATCTGACTGGATGATCTGGTGAACTGGAAAGTGACCTGAGATGACATGATGTGAATTGGAGCTATAGAAATAAACTGAATAGAATTAGCAGGTTGTCTGTTGTGTTTTAAATTGTATTTTATATATGTATTACTAATGTATTGTATTTATTTTAGCCCTACTTCCCTTTTCCTACATGTTTCCATTTGCCGCCATTGTAAATAAGAACTTGTTCTTAATGTCTTGACTGTAAAAATAAAGGTATAAAAAATAAAAGTTGAAATTGTTTCGCTCGTCTTTATCTTCCTCAGTCTGATGAGGTTAACCGCTTTAATTTTTCCACAAATTTAGCTTACATTTCAAATTTAGTTTAAAACTCTTATTACCAACACGTGTTTGGTCAAAGTTTAAGTTTGTTGTTTAATGACCTTTTTTTCCAAAATAAAACTATATGATTTACTTATTTAAGATTAAACATCGTTAGAGGAGCATTAAAAAAAAAGGTGTTTAGAAAAAGGCAGGATGTTGGTAGCGCATCCGAACGGTCGTCACTGCGTTCTAATTTTGTTCATCCTTTAAGCGGTGAAATCTCCTTACAGCCCCCCCCCGCCCCACTGGCCTCATGGCTAATAGACTAACCGGAGCAGAGGATTAAAGCGGGGAACTCTCTGCTTCTGCCGAGGGAAGAGATTAGCAGAATCTTTAGAGAACCCTTTAAGTCTTTAGGGCTTTTTTTAAACCTGGGTGTTAAAAAGGGCATCATTTGGCCAATATGTCCTCTTCTAGAGAGACTGGCTGTGGGAAAAACTCTAAGGTAGGGATGCTGGGTGGGGGCTGGTGGTGGTTATCCATCATGGACTCATCATGTCAGCTAAGTGAGCTCATCACTGAGCCAAACCTGTCGGGGTCAATGGGCCGACAACTTCATTAACACTTTAACATTTCTGGGACCTGAAGGTTTCCCAGTTTAACAAAGCTAGGCTACAGTTTTTCCAGTTTAATCCTGGTTCCCCCCTTATAAAAATAAAATATTCCCAGAATCTGTTTGCATAATAAAGGAAGTTGGGAAAATAAAAACCAATCAAAGCTGAAGTTGACCTGCAGCAAACATGCAACCCTTTCTAAAGCCGCTGCAGCTCCCAGATCTGCTTCATGCAGCGACGTTACGCTACATGACGGGCTGAAGGTTTGCACATGATGTAAGACATAGCGGTTGGCGAGCGCAGCGTCTAATGAACGATGAAGTTTTACCTGAAAACTGTTTCTGCTGAACAAAGTACCTGTTAGACGCTGATATAAAGGAGGAGAGCTGGGTAGCGCTGTGGCTAGCTGAGCTCAGTAGCTAACAGGTTAGCCTCTTTTACATAAAGTCATCGTTGTGATTAGAGCCTGTTTTTGAAAATGGATGGCATACATGCATTATACGCCATTATCTCATTTGCAATGGGATGCAAAGTGACTTTTTTTAATGTAGTCTAGTGAAATAAATCAATAATTAAAACAGTAAACAATGGGCAACATGAATGGATCGAGGCGTTACGTTCACAGCTGGGAAATTATAATTTAACAGCCAGTTAAATAAGACAATCCACGTGTATGGGTCACATCATTAAATCAAACACTGTGCGTCCCAGAGCACTGGCATCATTACAGGAAGGAAAAATGTCAGAAAATCTTCTCCTGAAAATCTGAGCGAGCGTGGAGCGATGTGGAGGAGCAACAACTCTACTCCCTGCTCCTCTCGGGTAACTGAGCTCCTCACCCGATCTTGTAGGGAGCGCCCAGCCACCCTGCAAAGGAAACTAATTTCGGCCGCTTTGATTTGCGGTATCGTGCTTTCGGTCTTTACCCAGATCTCATGACCATAGGTGAGGGTGGGAACGTAGATCGATCGCTAAATCCAGAGCTTTGTTCCCCTGACTCAGCTCCCTGTTCACCACCACAGTCCGATACAGCGACCGCATCACTGCCGACGCCGCACCGATCCGTCTATCGACCTCATGCCCATCCGTCCCTCACTCGATTTGCATTTAAGGTCAATATGCTTTATCCAAAACTACTCAAAAGGAAGAAAAAAAAAGTTCGACCTGCTTTAATTCTGTAAAAAAGAAGAAAAACTCCTTTGAGGAGCCTTTTGCTATCAGATTAGTAATCAATTAATAAAAAAATATAATCGCCAGATTAGTTGATTATCAAAATGATCATTAGTTGCAGTCGTAGTTGTGTGAGACTTTCTCTGTGGGAACTTTCCATTAAATTCTAGTGGTTTGCCTTCATTTTCACAGCCTAACTCAAACTTTACCAAAACATAACGAACCCAAACTAACCTCATAGCTTAGTCCTAACCTTAAACTCCACTCTACAACAAATTTGGCTGATTTCAAGGTTTAATCTGTAGATTTATATCACTAGATTAAAATAAGTGTTACATTTAAAAAAAAAGATTAAAAGAAGATTCTAAAATAAAAAAATGTAGAACTGAGCAGCGGATCAGAAACCAAACAGCCTGTGATGAAGGTCAGAGGTGGAACTTACAGGTGGCGGCGGTGGAGCTCCATGATTCTCTCCTCCACTTTTTCTTGGTAAGGCAACAGCTTGTTTGCTCTCAGAAACTCCCTGTCTGCAGCGTCGTCATAGTCTCCGATCTCCGCTGAGGTTTACAGAGGAGAGAAAACATCAGACTCATCGGAGGAACCGATCGGAGGAAACGATCGGAGGAAACGCTAAACATCTTCAGACCCTCTAGATATACGAAAAGGCTGCCTTGGATTATCATGGAGCAAAGAGAAAATGTTTCATCCAGACGACAACTATGCCATGAAGTTATTTCATATTATTGTTAAAAAAAAACAAATAAAAGAACAGGTTGGTAAAATAAAACAAAAAAACAAAGCTAAATCCTGTCTTTAAATTAACATTTATTATAGAACAAGTCTAATCAAACTAATGAAAGATGAGCGACTGTAGATAAAGGAGTGAATGTAAACATACACTGAACCAGATGTGAGGCCAGAAGAGCTCCGGTATTTTCTGAACAGATCAATCTGCCCTCTTTCAGGTCTCTCTTCATCTGCAGGGAGAACAAATACCTGTGGGAGGAAACAGAGAGCAACATTATTCACACCCCCACCAAGAGTTTTCTTTTCATTCAGCCGACAACACATGGAGCAAATGTTGCAGCGTTATTACTGCAAAAGAACATGTCTTAGAAATGGATGTTTGAAACCCCAGAGCAATTTTAATATAAATAAAATAAGGTTTTGATGGAAACTTTGCTGTTTTCTCAGATTGAGATTTTTTTAAATTCATATTGTTTTGTGATCTGCTAAACATAACTTAAAAATGATGCAACTGGTAAAAAATTAATCTGAAACTAAACTAAATATACATTCTGTTAAAAATAAAAAAAATAAGAAAAAAGCTATAGCTTTGAGTAAAAAGTTTAACATTCAATTTTGCATTTTTTTAATTTATTTTAATTCACAAAAAGGAAGCCAAGCATCTTTGCAACAATTATATGTGTGCTTGTGCATTCTCGTGCAGCAGCTAGGGCTAACATTAGCCCGGTCTGCAGCAGACGGGGCTAATGTTAGCCCTGGCTGGAGCTGCCAGGGATAGAGTTAGCTCGTCAACAGCAGCCAGGGCTAACGGTAGCCCTGGCTGCTGTTGACGAGCTAACTCTATCCCGTTAGCCCGTCTGCAGCAGCCAGGGCTAACGTTAGCCCTGGCTGCTGCAGACGGGCTAACATTCTCCCCGAGTCCAGACTTTACTGGGTTCTTCTAAAGAACAGACTTGGTGACGACACAAGTCCGTACTTGAGTTGTGAATAGAGAAACAGCCTATGAATCTGATTTTTAGGGATTCGAAAACTGTTGCGGATATCTATGATATCTATATATCCGTATGTATATATCTATATAGATATATATATAAACATCACTTATTGATATCAGTGAAGCAAACTACCGAAGTAAAAGCCGATGAATTGAGCATCTCTGCTGTTTTTCTAACATTATTTAAAGCCTTGTCAGTAATAAGTGAATTACAGCAATCAGCGCCGCCCTCTAAATGCTAAGCAGGGTTTGGACATCTTCAGCAGGTATTAAAAAGATTTCATGAAAAACTAAGGCAAACCTTAAACCTTAAAAAATAAAATTCTTTAAATGTAAAGACAGTTAAAAACAACAGGCATGATAAATATAATATTCAATTAATGCATCAGTTTAGATTTTGAATATTTGAAAAACTTTTCTTAATTTAATCTCTTCTCTGGAGACACGAGCCAGAGGCCAGATCCAGATGCTGTCTGTAAGCGCTGACCTGGTGTACTCCTCCTGCAGCTGACCCGGGTCCGGAGGAAAGAACTTCACTGAAAGTCGAAACAGCGTGTTTCCGGGTCCTGGGGAGCAATAACAGAAATATTGAAATTCCTCTCTTTATCAAACGGCTTTGGTTTTATTCTTTTAGCCAACTGGATCGCTCCTTACTTCTGGCCTGCCTTCCGATGGGTTTTGTCGGTTCCAGCCAAACCTAAAGAAAGACAGGATTTTTTAATTTTTCATGGCTTCCAGCTCACAGATTGAATGCCTGTCAGGTTAAAACCGCTTATCTCCTGTTAGGAGACGAGTCCTGGTTCACTGAATTGAACATGTATGATCTCTGTTCAAACTGTGGCTGATCGATGAAGGAAAGTACAAGAAAACCCAACGATTCTAACCAGAGGGAGCTGTCCTCATCAGCCTATAGACACATTTCTGCATCTGCATTTAATTTTCTATTTACCGTAATTTTCGGACTATAAGCCGCGACTTTTCCCCCATTTTTCGACCTTGCAGCTTATTTAACAAGGCGGCTTATCTACGGACTTTTACAGCTAATGGCCACTAGGGTGATACATAAATCTATGGATTTTAATATCCACCATGTTGACGTCACATTTGCTTCAACAGACAAGTATGGTAGCCGCGCGGGCAGGAATGCGGAGGTCCTCCGGAAGCAGACTTCTACCGCGACTGGTACGAGACAGAACGACAGCAAGAAAGACGGACATTGCGAGCGCAAGACAGTTTTTGTGTAAACAAAAAAAAAACTGCGGCTTATAGTCCGGTGAGGCTTATTGTCCGAAAATTACGGTAGGTACAACCTTATGCAGTAAGCTAATTAGCCTGGACTCTTTTGCAGACGACCAAACTTCTTATTCAGATTTCAGCTTTCAAAAACATACATTGCAGCAATTGAGTTGATTCCTTCCCGCCATCATCGCAGCCCCAAGCCCATTACAGGAGAACAGAAGACCTCGCCTTTTAATTCAGGCCAACAATTCCCTTTAACAACCCCCTTTCAGAGACATAGACAGGTATGGGGCATTGCAGGCTAACAAAGAAGCCAAACGACCCCCATTCTTAAGGGGGGGACCCGTTCATCTGTTTCTATTTGCATGTTTTCTAAACCAAAACAAGGCTTAACCCAACGCTATTCCTGACATTTTGAATTGAAAAAGCTTCTTTTGAAACATCTTTGAACTTGGAAACAAAGTCCAGTAGATTTTTTTTTACTTTTTTGGAAGGACCAAATATCTTATTGCTTATTATCCAAGTTAATTACATTGGGATCAGCCTTCAGCTCTTATAGAGCCGATGGATCCATTGGAAACCAACTCTGCTGTCTTTGAACCTGATATGCAGCGTGGTTCGTGTCCCTATGCCGGCTGATGGTGGAGTTACGTTCCACATGTGTTTCTGGGAGGATAAAAACAGCAGAAGGTCTGACAGACGGGTTAGAGTTAAATCCACTCTGGTGAAACAAATACCTCTACCTCAAAGTTTGCATGAACCCAGAGCAACACGGCGACTGTTAAATGACCTCAGAGTGAACGCTGACCCTCCGCCCACATGTTATGACGCTGTGACCTTTGGCCTGCCACTAGCAATGCAAACTCTTCCACATACAGACTTGTTTTATAGTAGTGAACAGCCTGAACCTTTAAAAAACTAGAAAACTTCCACATCAGGCGTATTAGGATTAAAAAAGAAAGTCTGATACGTGAGCTGGAAGTATGCTGTATTTTCTGAGCGAGCAGTGAGACCAGTTGGCAGCGTTTGATCTCACACTGACTCACTCAAAATGTTTCTGGCACGCGCTCAACTTTGACAGACTCTGCTTTGGCTGCGGCTCCACACCGATCCTTTTAACCTGACCTCCGCTTTCCCTGCGCTCGCTCGGCTCCTCTGCACTCAGGATTTGATAAACCAATCAAAGACGGGTCCTTTTATCCAATCACCAGTGCAAATAGCTAACAATGGGATTAGAGTATTAGCTGCCAATTAAAATCAAATGCTTACCAAGAACAGGAGAGGACGCAGTCGACTCTCATGGCGCCGCCTCAGCATCTAAAGTATTTTTTTTGCTAGGATGCTAACGTAAAATGGACAACGATGTAGCGTCATCTCCATAGAATGGATGCCTGGAGGCGGCGGCTCATAAGTTACGTTTATAAACCTGAACGTGTCTGACCTCACGCTGCCTCAGGCACCTACGGCCATCTTGCCCATTACGTTTTCGATTAGCATAGAGCCAAGTTCCTCCCTCCCCCGTCTGCCATGTTCCTTCATCTTTATGATGTTGTTCATTCACTATAGCCGGGCGTACACTCTAGGATTTCTTGCCCTTTTCGGGCCATTTCTCCAATCATGTGCGTTAGAAATATTTTATTTATACTCATGGGTTGTGTTCTAATGAACTATTATGATGTATAAGGTCATGCAATGGACGGGTTGTGAAAGAGGCCTGCACATCTTCTATCATACGCTGGGTTGTAAAAGAGACCTGAACATCCTGTTTTTTCTAAACATGTGTTCTGGGAACAATTCAATTGTAAAACAACCACATGCTTTATTTTAACATATGTGCTGAGGTTTAAAGTAAGATCCTTTTGTTTCCCTTCCCCTTTAGTTAAACCTCAGCTGCTGTAATTAGGGACATCCACTTTTCTTCAATAAATGGCGAGGAGAAAGCTGAAGACTGCAGAGTGGGGTGGAGATTTGTAAACTCCGCAGTCTCTTCCTACTCTCCTCGCGACTAACTAAATTAATTGTCTCTGTGCCTTCTTTCCTTCCCTGTATGTATGTATGATGTTTTAGGTGCTTAAACCTGACAATGCGAGAATTTTTGATCGGGCCGACTTTCAGCCTGATCGTGCGGCGGGTAGCATACAGGGGGTAACGAGGGACGATTAGCCTCTTACGACCACCTCCCCATCAGGAATCATAAGGGCGGGAGAAAATCAAGCGCGTTTGAAATTGGCCGTCGTGAGGTGGTCGCGGACAATCCTGCTGTTGAAGCAGAGTTACGAGCCGATTTACCAGAACCTCCAACACTGTGCATGAGGAAACAAGGGAGTTCTTCTTCTTCTACTTCTACTTCCAGATTGAGGGTCTGACAGTCCGAACAGCGTTATCTCTTGGAGCTGAGTCCAATGTGGTTTTTAGACGTGCAGTGTGAGCAGGTAGATCGCATCAGAGCGCCGGGTCGCACTGTAATAGAACAAACATCGTGAGCTGTGAACTTTTAAACCCTGAGGTTTTATCGTAAAGTTTGCGCTGTAGCTGCGTGCGATTATTGAAAATATGGCACAGTGTGAGCCCAGCTTACAGGGCAATTAGTTATAAAGGATGTCAAACAGGAGTATCAAACCAGAGGAGGCCAACTACAGATCCATGCCACAGTCTAAATTACTCCTTATAGTTTTTGGATTTTTAGAGCCATAAATACCCCCCTCCCGCAATAAAGCACTAGTTTGTGTTTATTTTCCTCTGAATAATGTGTGAGTATGAGAAACTGCTTAGAAAACTTGAAGATTATCGGAACCATCTACTGTAAAAAACCTGGAACTCAACATTAATAATGACATTAAGGCCCCGTCCACACGAAGTCAAAACAAACACGAAACGCTAATATTTTCCTTAAAGAAACGTTTGGCCCTCGACAAACGTTTGTCTTAAAGACGGAGACGTAAAATAAATGTGATCGTCCACATGAATGCATGAAAACGCTGCAAAATGTATGCCAGGCCTGTAAGTGGCGCTGTGGTGCCAAAGCAAAAATAGGGAAAAACAGGCAACGAAATGTTGGGCATGCGCACTAATATTTATACATGGTTGCCCTGCGGGTCCATTTTGGTGGTTCAGTCAAATTCAGGTGCTGAACTATGTGGTGGATATTGCTCTGTTCTTCCTGGAGATATTCCAGAAGAAGAAGATTCTGTTGTAAGCCCGACAGCAGGGTGAGTAGCATCAGCAGCAACCATTCAACACAGTACGGCGCCATTATTGTTGTGATACTGTGTCGCGCATGCGTGTTTAGAGGCGACGCTATGACGCATGCGTGTAAGAAAAAAAATGCGGCTAGAGCTTAAAGATGGAAACGCAAAAACGGCGTTTCAAAATCTTCCCACTCTGAAGGCTTAATAAAAAAAAAGATCGTTTACAGACCCCCGAAACGCCGGCTTCGTGTGGATGAGAGGCTGGTTTGGTGAAAAAGTTGTGCGTTTAGGCCAGGGTTTGACTTCGTGTGGACGGGGCCTTAGAATTGAAAAAGCTTCTTTAATGGGAAGCGAAACGTCTTTAAACTTGGAAAAAAAGTCCATAAGATTGTTTTTAATTTTCTTTTTTTGGAACTACTTTGTGTAGAGCTACCATTAAAAGATCCCAATAGAATACCCTGATGATTGTGGATGGGAAAAGGGGAATGAAAACTTTTCCAAAGGCAGGTTTTTGTGTTTGGAAGCATAAATAAAAGCTGTTATTGCAGCACATACCCAGTTCATCTGCATGTTGGTAAACTCCAGGCCAAAGTAATCGCTTTCGATCAGGTTACCTCTGTGGAAAACCTCAGAGAGGAGGGTCTGTCCAAGAGACTTTGGCTGAAAGAAGAAAAAAAGCAGAGTGAGGCATTCCTTTCATCTAACGGCCAAAAAAGATTTTTATATCCTCCTGTGATGCATCTTCAACTTGCACTGAAGTTATACATAATCAAACAGAACAGAGCTGATCCTCTGAAACCTGCGCAGCTGAACGTCAGCTTTACAAATTCAGTCTTTGGCATCTGCAAGCAATTTCCTTCATTGCTTTTTTTTTCCAAGTCTGCAGGTTCCATCTGTTGGATCTCCTTGATAATGACACAGAGAGGTTGTAAAATAGAAAATAAATGTGTTCAGGGTTGCTGTCTGAGCAGAGAGTAGCAGGAAATCTGCTGAAGTTTACCTTCCCCGTGCTCTGGGGTTTATTTTCACTAAACGAAGAACTAATTACTATGTACCAGGAGCACACTGCACTTGAGGTTTGGAAACTTAGGCTGCGACTTTTTGAGAAAATTATAGCATAAAACATCTGGTAGTAATGTAAAACGGTATTTTTAAAAGCCTTATAAAAAGAACTACACTGCATCGCTAAAGTTAGGTGCAACGGCTCCAAGAGCTTTTCTCTGGATGGTTTTCTCATTCCTTTGATACGATCTCACGCCCTGCGCTCTGAAAACCCTTTAAACTGTAGGTGAAATGTAGAAAAACCCTCAGTAAATGTAGAAATCTGTTGTAAAAGTCTCCTGTACATGCTCTCAGTCTCTGATTACAGCGGATCTAAAATAGAAAACAGCAGCTAGAGTGTTTGAATACTTGGGTCTGCCTTTGAGTAGGAGCCAAACGCATTCCAGACGACATCAGTAAAGCATTCTGAATGAAAACACTGGATAAACGGGAAGAATTCAGGCGCGATGCGTCACTTTGGCTTCATGGAAGCGTTTATTACCTTCAGCTCATCGCTGACCTTAGATCCGCTTCATTTCATGACACCAGAAGAGCACGGCCAGTTCAATCATTATCTACTTAAGTGAAAAACTACATTTAAAGCTTGAATTAAAATCTCTAAAAGTGAAGAATGTAGCTCCTAATCGGGTTACCCTGGAAAATATTAGATACTATTATTAGTTCCAAGAGACAAAAAAGGAAAAAAATATACACTTATTGCGATAAAAACCCAACATATTCAAAGATGCTAGTTAAATGTGTGTAATAAAATAAAAAACAAATGTAACACAACTTGACTTTATTTTAAGCTTAAGGTATTATTCCTTTAATAAAGAATAATTCAGAAATCTGACATTAATGACCGTAAAACTATGCAAACATCACTTGTCTCTGCTATGGATACTGAGCCGAGGAGAGCTCTCCGCGCAAAGCATTCTGGGATATATCTGCCTCTTCTGAGGCCTTTTTCTTCTCATTCACTTCCGACCTTCAGCCATTTTCAAAGATCCGCGGTGAGAAAGGTGAGCTTCAATGACCGTCTGAAACCGTAGCTCACCACAGATATACGCCCGAAAGTTCGCAGAAAAAGATCGCTAACGGGACGAGCGCGTAGGACGGCCTTACGTAAACATATCACCAGAATGATTGACAGTTAGGAGGACCACTGATTGAGACGATCCACCCAGAAATAAAAGATCCTCCTCTATACCTTTAACAGTACAAAAAACAACTTTACCAATGCAAATCACAAATTTAAGATTTAGAAATGATGATTTGCAGATAATTCCTGCTCTAAGGTCATTTTATAGTCTCTATAGTCCAGTTAACGATTAATCAATTACTAAATTATTTGACTATTATTTCAATCACCGATTAATCCGATTAACTGTTTCAGCCCAAGTTATAACCTGTATTCTAACAGACAGCGATCTGATGTCACACGTAGGGTGGACTTTTATTTACGAATTCAGACATTTTTATTGACAGCTATCTTAACCCACAGCTGAAGCCGAGAGCGGTGACTGGTTTGGAACAATCATGACAAAGCTCATCAGAGCTGACCTCCAGACGCCTTGTTCTGTTCAACAATCATTAACCAAACAGCAGGAAGGTTCACATTCTCACCTCTTCAATCAAGAAATAAGGACAAGATCCGACTGAGGAGCCATTTTCATCAAACTAACGGCTGATATCAGACACATGATGTTTTTCAAAATGACTGGTGAACCAAACAAGCGGGTAGGGAACCAAACAGGAAATACGCGTAGTGCAGAGCGAATGTAGATTTGACCAACCCGTCCGTGGAGGATCAGGAATCAGAAAGGTGGAATAACTCTTTCTTTCACTTTTACCCGATGTATTCCAGCATCCAGCTGCCATGCACGTGGGCATTGTCAGTTTCACTATAGCTCTGGTGAATTTCAATGGTGAAGTCCTCTGGAAATCTTCAATAATTGTTGTTGATTGCAGATGTGTCTAGTAGTTCCCATTGATTTAGCTTGGAAAGCGGGGAGAATGGCGCTAGGCTTACCGCACCGTGACGTCACTGCTGGAAGATGGCAGGAGGGAGGGGCTACTAGATTTGGGCAAAAATGGCCGCTCCCAGACTCAGGGATCACAACGAAAAATATTATTTTAATTATTTTACTGATTAACGCTACATTCATTAAATAACCATGAACATTTTAGTTTTAGGTATAAATAATGATCCATTGATGATTCTTTGATGACCAGACTTTTCCTTTATAGGATTAGTCATTAATCAATCGGTTTCCAGCTTAACCACCCTTGATGGGATGGTCTATAACCGGTCTATAACCGATGCACGATATTGGGATTTTGGCCGATATCCGATATGCCAATATTTTAAAACTCATGTAGCCGATAACCGATATCGATACCAATGTTAAAGCTGGACAAAAATAAGTAGTCATTGAAAATAGCAGTTTTATTATCCATTTCTGACACTTTGAAAAATAATATACTCAAATATATTTTCATATGCTGATATTAAATAGATTTTTTAAAAACGCGGTATCGATCTATTTTACTTTCAAAATCTGGTGAAATTTCATCGTTCTGTTACAAACTCTCGTGATATTTTGCAAATTCTTGTGAGATTTTGTTAGTAAAATAGATCGATACCGCGTCAATATATCAACATATAGAAATATGGTAACATTTCGTGAATTTTCGGGGGATTTCGTAGCATAACGATGACATATAGCAATATTTCTTTAGTAAAAGAGATTGATATGGTGTTTTTAAATGGCAATATATCAGCATATGAAGATATTGGGATATTTTAATGTATCAATATTTTTTCCCTCGTCTTTAGAAGTTTTTAAGTCTGTAAAAAAGAAGTTTTTGAGGAAGAAGAAGAAGTAGTATTTTTTTTTTAGACTTTAGAAACTCAGAAGCTGATCAAATATCGGGTTAAATATCGGTGGGGAGGCCGATGTCCGATATTCAGTTTTAAGGCCGATACCGATAGGGGGCCGATTATATCGTGCATCCCTATCTATAACTAAAAAAAATACGAAGCACCATAACCTCTGGTTCGACTGCTAGAAACTGTCCTCCACAGAAACGCTGAATGAAGTACCTTTTATGATCAGTTCATGTGTTTAAAAACTAAATCAGAGGATGAGAGTGAGCGGCTCGATGAGAGGAACTGTATTATTTCTGGAAGCCCGTCTGCAGCTCAGCCTGAGGCCAAAACAGCAGAAAACAGAGAATAAAATAAATTTAAAAAAGGACATAACAGAAAGAAAAGCTCCAAAAAACCTTCTCAAACCTCCACTTTTATAGCGATGTCCAAATGTGTTCAGTGCATTTAATAGTCAACACACGCTATGAGCTTAACTCTCATTAAAGCGGGGATTCCCATCATTCAGTTTATTACACTTTTATCCAATCTTGTAATCTCGATTTCTCAATGTCCATCAGGGAAATCTCCAGACAAGCAGCAGAACAAAGAGTGCCGCATAAGAAGACAAATAAATAAATAAATAAATAAATAAATAAGAGGGAAAATGAGAATTTAAAAAAGGTAGAATAGCTGATAAACAAGCCTCCAAATAAATGTCACACCAGGTAACGTTATACGTCCCTCCTACTGCCGAAAAACGCGTTTAAACCTGGGAAAAATTGGGGCCCTAGGCAAAGGCTACGTTCACACTGCAGCCTGAAGTGACCCAATTCCGATTTTTTTGCCCATATGTGACCTGTATCTGATCTTTTTATGACAGTCTGAACGACACAGATCGGATTTTTTCAAATGCGACCCAGGCCACTTGGATATGTGGTCCTGAATCCGATACGTATCTGATCTTTTCAAATGCGACCTGTGTCTGTACGGCCAGGTCGCATTCATCCGACCTACACGTCATTGATACTTGACAAATGTTACTAAATGTTACTAATCTGCGTCCTACTAAGCGGAGGCGGGAAAAACTAACAACCATGGCGGAAGATAACACAGAGAACAGTCAATAGAGAGCTCAGTGAGAGCTCTGTACGGACGTTGCTATTACTGCCCCACAAAACGCCATTGCAAGAAATCTGGCTCTCTTTCTTTTTGATCTTCTTAAAAAGATTTCGTTCGTAATGTGCCTGCTCCTGTTGGAGAAGAACTTAAAGAACGCAATATACGCTGCGGTATTACGAGTCATGTTTACTTCCGCAAACACTGAGGACGCTTGCTACATGTGACGTCATCGCGTCCTCGAGTGCGCATGCGGGACACTTCGGTTGAACGCTTTCAGTTCACACAGTAGATCACATACAAGTCGCATATACTTGGAAGTGTGAACGGACATGCAAAAAAATCCGATTTCACAAAAAAATCGGAATTGAGCATTAAGGCCTGCAGTGTGAACGTAGCCAAAGACAGGCAGGGGGCCTTATTTATTAGTAAATATATTGTTTCTGTATGTATTTACCATAGCATCATCATGTGACGGAACTAGATCGCTGTACATGCAAACAATTGATCAACAAGTTGAAACAATGGAGGCGACTGAGTGTGAAACTTGCGGTGTAATTACGAAAGGAAAAAAAAGTCCACGATTAAGTTTCAAAAGATGCAAGAAAATGTTTGATTCCAAGAGGAATAA